GTCCAGGGGATGTTAGTGCGGCCCCACACCTAGCTTCATTGTCCAGGGGATGTTAGTGCGGCCCCACACTCAGCTTCATAGTCTAGGGAATGTAAGTGCGCCCCCACCCTCAGCTACTCAGTCCAGGGGATGTTAGTGCGGCCCCACCCTAAGCTTTATGGTCCAGGGGCTGTTAGTGCGGCGCCACCCTCAGCTACTCAGTCCAGAGGATGATAGTGCGTCCCCACCCTCAGCTTCAAGGCCCAGGTTATGTAAGTGCGCCCCCACCCTCAGCTACTCAGTCCAGGGGATGTTAGTGCGGCCCCACCCTAAGCTTTATGGTCCAGGGGCTGTTAGTGCGGCGCCACCCTCAGCTACTCAGTCCAGCGGATGTTAGGGCGGCCCCACCCTCAGCTACTCAGTCCAGAGGATGTTAGTGTGGCCCCACCCTCAGCTAGTCAGTCCAGAGGATGTTAGTGCGGCCCCACCCTTAGCTTCATAGTCTAGGGAATGTTAGTGCAGCCCAACCCTCGGCTTCTAAGTCTAGGGAATGTTAGTGCGGCCCCACCCTCAGCTACTCAGTCCAGCGGATGTTAGTGCAGCCCAACCCTCAGCTACTCAGTCCAGAGGATGTTAATGCAGCCCAACCCTCAGCTTCTCAGTCTAGGGAATGTTACTGCGGCCCCACCCTCAGCTACTCAGTCCAGGTGATGTAAGTGCGGCCCCACCCTCAGCTACTCAGTCTAGGGAATGTTACTGCGGCCCCACCCTCAGCTACTCAGTCCAGAGGATGTTAGTGCAGCCCAACCCTCAGCTTCTCAGTCTAGGGAATGTTACTGCGGCCCCACCCTCAGCTACTCAGTCCAGAGGATGTTAGTTCGGCCCCACCCTCAGCTACTCAGTCCAGGTGATGTTAGTGCGGCCCCACCCTTAACTCCTCGGTCCAGGTGATGTTAGTGCGGCCCCACCCTCAGCTACTCAGTCCAGGGGATGTTAGTGCGGCCCCCCCCTTAACTCCTCAGTCCAGGTGATGTTAGTGCGGCCCCACCCTCAGCTCCTCACTCCAGGTGATGTTAGTGCGGCCCCACCCTCAGCTACTCAGTCCAGAGGATGTTAGTGCGGCCCCACCCTCAGCTACTCAGTCCAGGTGATGTAAGTGCGGTCCCACCCTCAGCTACTCAGTCCAGGGGATGTTAGTGCGGTCCCACCCTCAGCTACTCAGTCCAGGTGATGTTAGTGCGGCCCCACCCTCAGCTACTCAGACCAGCGGGTGATAGTGCGGCCCCACCCTCAGCTCCTCACTCCAGGTGATGTTAGTGCGGCCCCACCCTCAGCTACTCAGTCCAGAGGATGTTAGTGCGGCCCCACCCTTAGCTTCATAGTCTAGGGAATGTTAGTGCGGCCCCACCCTCAGCTACTCAGTCCAGAGGATGTTAGTTCGGCCCTACCCTCAGCTACTCAGTCCAGGGGATGTTAGTGCGGTCCCACCCTCAGCTGCTCAGTCCAGGTGATGTTAGTGCGGCCCCACCCTCAGCTACTCAGACCAGCTGGTGAAAGTGCGGCCCCACCCTCAGCTCCTCACTCCAGGTGATATTATTGCGGCCCCACCCTCAGCTTCAAGGCCCAGAGGATGTTAGTGCGGCCCCACCCTCAGCTAGTCAGTCCAGAGGATGTTAGTGCGGCCCCACGCTTAGCTTCATAGTCTAGGGAATGTTAGTGCGGCCCCACCCTCAGCTACTCAGTCCAGAGGATGTTAGTTCGGCCCTACCCTCAGCTACTCATTCCAGGGTATGTTAGTGCGGCCCCACCCTCAGCCCAGAGGATGTTAGTTCGGCCCCACCCTCAGCTACTCAGTCCAGGTGATGTAAGTGCGGTCCCACCCTCAGCTACTCAGTCCAGGTGATGTTAGTGCGGTCCCACCCTCAGCTACTCAGTCCAGGTGATGTTAGTGCGGCCCCACCCTCAGCTACTCAGTCCAGAGGATGTTAGTACAGCCCAACCCACAGCTTCTCAGACCAGCGGTTGATAGTGCGGCCCCACCCTCAGCTTCATAGTCTAGGGAATGTTAGTGCGGCCCCACCCTCAGCTATTCAGTCCAGGTGATGTTAGTGCGGCCCCACCCTCAGCTACTCAGTCCAGAGGATGTTAGTGCGGCCCCACCCTCAGCTACTCAGTCCAGGTGATGTAAGTGCGGTCCCACCCTCAGCTACTCAGTCCAGGGGATGTTAGTGCGGTCCCACCCTCAGCTACTCAGTCCAGGTGATGTTAGTGCGGCCCCACCCTCAGCTACTCAGACCAGCGGGTGATAGTGCGGCCCCACCCTCAGCTCCTCACTCCAGGTGATGTTAGTGCGGCCCCACCCTCAGCTACTCAGTCCAGAGGATGTTAGTGCGGCCCCACCCTTAGCTTCATAGTGTAGGGAATGTTAGTGCGGCCCCACCCTCAGCTACTCAGTCCAGAGGATGTTAGTTCGGCCCTACCCTCAGCTACTCAGTCCAGGGGATGTTAGTGCGGTCCCACCCTCAGCTACTCAGTCCAGGTGATGTTAGTGCGGCCCCACCCTCAGCTACTCAGACCAGCGGGTGATAGTGCGGCCCCACCCTCAGCTCCTCACTCCAGGTGATATTATTGCGGCCCCACCCTCAGCTTCAAGGCCCAGAGGATGTTAGTGCGGCCCCACCCTCAGCTAGTCAGTCCAGAGGATGTTAGTGCGGCCCCACCCTTAGCTTCATAGTGTAGGGAATGTTAGTGCGGCCCCACCCTCAGCTACTCAGTCCAGAGGATGTTAGTTCGGCCCTACCCTCAGCTACTCATTCCAGGGGATGTTAGTGCGGCCCCACCCTCAGCCCAGAGGATGTTAGTTCGGCCCCACCCTCAGCTACTCAGTCCAGGTGATGTAAGTGCGGTCCCACCCTCAGCTACTCAGTCCAGGTGATGTTAGTGCGGTCCCACCCTCAGCTACTCAGTCCAGGTGATGTTAGTGCGGCCCCACCCTCAGCTACTCAGTCCAGAGGATGTTAGTACAGCCCAACCCACAGCTTCTCAGACCAGCGGGTGATAGTGCGGCCCCACCCTCAGCTTCATAGTCTAGGGAATGTTAGTGCGGCCCCACCCTCAGCTATTCAGTCCAGGTGAATGTTAGTGCGGCCCAAACCTCAGCTTCATAGTCTAGGGAATGTTAGTGCGGCCCCACCCTCAGCTTCATGGCCCAGGTTATGTTAGTGAGGCCCGGCCGTCAGCTACTCAGTCCAGAAGCTGTTAGTGCGGCCCCACCCTCAGCTTCATAGTCCAGGGGATGTTAGTGCGACCCCACCCTCAGCTTCAGGGTCCAGGGGATGTTAGTGCGGCCCCATCCTCAGCTTCATGGTCCAGGGGATGTTAGTGCGGCCCCACCCTCAGCTTCAGGGTCCAGGGAATGTTAGTGCGGCCGCATCCTAATGCTACTCAATATTCCTGACATGAAGGCATTATGGATCAATACATGAGCCTCGGATGTAGGAGATGAAGAACAGCATCACTGTTCTAATTTTAGGGACATAGTGCGGTGTTTTTTGTTTATGTTTACCCGACGAACGCTACGACGAGGTGGCAAACACTCTACATCTTAAAACTGTCACGCTGGTCACGCGGGGATGTAGAGACTACATGCAAATCGTGGCAATTTTCTGTCCACACAAAACACAAAACAAATAACCAATTCTACATCCTTACTTTTAGAATAAATTGAACCATGTACATACATGCCTCCTTTAGGCAGGCTTGTCGTAAAAGGCGACTAACGGGATCGGGTGGTCAGGCTCGCTGACTTGGTTGATGCATATCATCGTATATCGTATAACTGCGTAGATCGATGCTCATGATAACAAGTACTATATTGTCTGGTCCAGACTTGATTATCTAAGACCGCCGTCGAAAAGCTGGAGTACTGCTGAGTGCGACGTTAAACAAACATACAATTCCTTAAAACGGGCATTTTGTAGGATTCGTAATCAACTATGCACAGGGATGATTTTAAGTACAATGTTCGTGTTCTATTTTCCAAACAACCGGCTGCTACCCTGCAATGTCGCCCTTCTTTGTCAATAATGTATACCATCTGTAAACACTGGATAACTATTGAAGGCCTGAAAGTGTTGTTGAAGTAAGACTAACACTTGGCCAGGCATCTAAATCATTGTTGATCGATAATCCTTGACGTGCGTACTATCGTTAAGTGGTTAAGTTGGCTAATGTTTAACTCCGCGGTCAACACTAAACTACCCATATCTCTCTGTGTGTGTGTGTGTGTGTGTGTGTGTGTGTGTGTGTGTGTGTTGGGGGGTGTTCTACTCTAATCGTGGTTCGTGCTGATATCAACGACTGACACACTCGCCTATGGGGAGAGTTAGTGTGTGTTTCCTGAACACTTGGAGGCTGGTCCCGTGTACAACTGCCAAATCCACCGTAAATTTAAAAGGGCCCTAAATTAGTATTATCAATAGATGATGGGGGCCTATTCTGTTCCGGAATGCCCACTAGCATTAGATACTGCATGGGGATCTATTCTGCCCCAGAATCTCCGTAAGGCGGACGAGCATTATTTAGAAATACTGGTGGTGAGGTGAGGTGAGGTGAGGTGAGGTGAGGTGAGGTGAAATGGGGGTTAACGATTACTGATCTAACATGTCTAACATATAGCGACGTGCATGCACGTGTGTGTGTATGGCTGCTTGTACTGGTCCAACATATGCCGGTATTTTTAGTGCTAGCCGACTAAGGTATCAACACGGAAACTCAAAATCCCAGATCCCAAAGGCCGAAGGCCGAAGACCAGAGTTACAACATGGATCCGCACGGGTGAGCAAGCACTGTATATACATACTGGGTAATGTTCTGATATTGGTGTGCTTGCTCCAGACGCTAGTGGAGCTGTTGTGACATGCAGTACCTATTTTCAAAGTACAGTTCAACATGGCGTTAAACCCAATTCGCTCATCGCTCGATCATCCCGTGAACCAACGAATGATAACCGAAGACAGATAGTCCTGCAAAACAACATTTATTTAACTTTGAGCGGATTGGCTAAAGCTTTGGTGACTCCTGTGCCTTCTTTACCACGAGGTCAAGCAATTCATAGAACACGCTTGTCATAAAGTGGCCCCGGTCTTCAAACTTGAACAATTCGGGACTCAGACCTTCAGCCACCTTGCTCTGTTCCTCTTCCCAAGATAGGAACGGGTCATCCGTGGAACCGAACTGCACAATGAAGCTGGCGTTAGCTCGTATTTTCTCCCACTCCCATGGTCGACTGTAGTAGCCGCTTGCCCTCTCGTTGGCGTCCCCGAGATCCGTGACGCAAGCAGACACCAACACAATGCCCTTGACCTTGTACGTCTCACAGTACCTCATGGCCGCTTCGGCCCCTGAACTGTGTCCGACAATAATGGTCGTCTCGTCACATTTGAGTTCATCATGCATGAACGGGATCCATGCGCTCTCCCGAGCTACGTACGGGTCCGGCATGCTCTTCAGTTCACAAGCAATACCTTTCTTGGTGAGCTCGTGGTACAGCCATCCATACCAATTGGCGTTGAATACCGCATCGCAGCCGTTCCCGGGTACTATCACCACCCGCGGGGACATCTATGGTCTGTTTAAGATAAGTAAAATGCGTTAGACAGAATCATCGCGTCGTTGTGAATCATGAACCATGCATTTAGTGATTTAGGTTGTGTGTGTGGTGGGTTGGGGTTGGGGTTGGGGTTGGGGGTGTATGCGTGCGTGGTGGGGGTGTGGGGGAGAGGGGCACCGATGGCCCAGTAGAATAAGCCGCTGCAATTGGCTGCGCAGGGTTTCATTCCCTAGGAGTGCCAGAAACATGTACTTCCCATGTACCCATGTGGGAAATCGAACCCGGGTCTTCGGCGTGACGAGCGAACAATTTAACCACTTGACTACCCCACCGCCCCTTCAGGCATAGGGAACATCAACAGTAACGTGTCGACATAAAGAAGGCGGAGGTTGGTTCGGAGTTAACATAGAACAAATGCGCACAGAACAAACAAAAGCATAAATGACATAGACGTAAATATATTGTTGCTGTAAAGACAAAATATTTTATGGATGACAACTTCTTTATTGTATTAAGATGCAACGTTTAGGTATAGATCCTTCCTTGTATCGCTGTTAAGCAAGAGTGACGTAAGACGGCACAGTACACGGTTCTATATATCCTTATTACCTACACCGTCGCAGCATTATAGAATGAAGAAGTCGTCCTCCATAAAATAAAATGCCTTTACTGTTCATTAACAACGTCTTAAAATGCCAAACAGTTTATAATGTTGAGGTTTTAAATATTAAATTTCAGAGATTTACCAATTATTTAACGCCGCACTCCACAATATACCAGTTGTGTGACGGCGGGCTGTAAGTAATCTGGACAAAATCAGTGACTGATATTACGAGCAACGGTAAAAATGGGTTTAAGATCGTGTTCAAGACTATTGCACTTATCTATCGTATTACATGTAAGTGAGTGTGTCTGTGTGTGAGGCGCTTGCTTGTTTGTTGTTTAACGCCGAACTCAGCAACATTCCAGCTATGTGACGGCGGTCTGTAAATAATCGAGTCTGGACCAGACAATCCGGTGATTGATATCATGAGCATCGATCCATGCAATTGGGATGAATGACGTGCATATACCAAGTCAGCGAGCCTGACCACCCGAGCCCGTCAGTCGCCTCTTCCGACAAGCATAGTCGCTTTTTACGGCAAGCATGGGTTGCTGCATGAAGACCTATTCTTTTCCCCGGGTTTTCACGGGTCATGAGGCGCTTGTACTAGTCTGGACTAATGTCGGTTATATAGTGTTAGCCCAATGAGATACCATTCCACAGTTTAAAATGGATACCCTTCTCAGGCAAGTTGACTGACTCCGGGCCGACAGTCCTTGTGTTATTCCTTTATGCCGAGTGCCAAGCAGGGTAACGCAAAGTACCATCTTTAAATGGGTACACGCCGTGATAAAACTGGAATATTGCTAAAAGCGGCGTTAACCACAACTCACTCACTCACTTTAAGTGGGTACAATGACATGCAATGAACCAAGTCACTGAGTCTGATCACACAATCCATTAAGTCGCGGCCTGTGAAGATCCGGGGTAGAATAGGTCTTCAGCAACCCATGCTTGCCGTAAAAGGCGACTATGCTTGTCGTAAAAGGCGACTAACGGGGTCGGCTGGTCAGGCTTGCTGACTTGGTTGATGCATGTCATCGATCCCAATTGCGTGGATCGATGCTCATGATGTCAATCACTGGATTGTCTGGCCCAGGCTCGATTATTTACAGACCGCCGTCATATAGCTGGAATACTGCTCTCACTCACTCATGGCATAGGACATAACGGGGCTAAAGGCATTCATTAAACAAAGAAGCATACAGCATACTTCCTGCACAGGGATGTAAGGGTACATATGTTTCCGTGTCCACATTAGATTATGTGAGTTTGTCACGCTTCGTAGAGTTTATAGTATTAGGTAATCTGAGTATGGAATAGTCCAGTTAAAAGTTTATAGGGAGTTTGAAATAACGAAATATTTTCAGTATGAATTTCTGTTGTTTTGCTTGCTTCTTATTCTTCATCCTCGATCTAAATTCCTCACAGATGATGCTTTACTACGGTAGTATAAAGATAACTTATACTGGTTGTTTTAGGAAATAAAGCGTGCGAGACGGTGCCTCAACCCAACATGCTGACTTGGCCTACTCCGCGGGGAGTCGTTGCGGCTCAATGATCACAAATGTTAGTCTGGGTTCAGAGTTAGTTGATGATGTGATATTTTGCTAGGTTGATCAATTCTGTTAGTCGGGGTATACTCCGTGAAACTGACGTTTGGTGGAAATGATAACAGTATAATATTATCCTCCCAATTCAGATCCGCTAGGTTGGAAAATGAGACAATCCGGGTACACACCATGTATGAGATGGGGTGGTGGGTCAACGTGACATTTGCCATGTCGCGGTCTGTTTAAGATCAGATCTGAATAGGGAGATAATGTTATACTTGGATCTTTTTCGCAAATGTCAGTTTCACCATGTTCACAGACCCGGTGGTTTCAGGGGAGAAGGTGAAAAGGGGTATTTCACCGGGGTATGTTGATACTCAAAGGCCCTGGTAGTTAATTAAACTGTTATACAAGTTTTAGAGAATTACAGCAATCATTGATCACACACTTAAACATTTATACATGAATAAATCGCAGAACAATGGAGTATACTAACAGTGAAAAGGTGTTGGGTGTTATTAATAATTCACATTAACAATATTATTTATTTCAATAGCTGTACATATTTTCATGTTCCTACCCAGTCTTGAGTACTGATGTGATGACCTTCCCTCTAGGCCGCCTCTGATGCCCCTGTAATAGATATACAAGGTCAAAGTTCATACCTTGAGCGAGAAGGTTAAAGTTCATAATCGGCAAAAAACATCTGCCAAATGTGTTTGCACATACATACGAAACACAACATACATAACATGGCTAAAAAATTTACATTTATGCGATTGAAAAAACAAACACATAAATAAGTAAGTAAATACAAATGAGGTGTTCTATGAACATTGATAATTATATTAAATGACATTGCTGATATAGCTGTAAATTGGTCGCGACAAGGCGTGTGAAAACGTGCGAATATCTTCGACCACGTGGAAATATTGTCTAGCCACGCCCATTCCGTTTAGAATTGCCGTACTGCACACCACACCACACACTACCACATCTATGTGTCACTGTCATGCAGTGAATTGTGTAGCAGTTGTTCTTTAAAGCTTACAATAACGACAGTGCGAACAACATAAAAATAGACAGCAATTAAATTGATTACCAGTCTCTGTTTGTAGTAAGATTCGTAGTACGCTTGTGTGTGAATGAAAACACATGCGCGCGCACCCGCCAATGTACAATGAATCTTGGGATACCTTGATGGACTGGCAAGTCCGCCATGATGAAACACGAAAATCGTAGAAAATATACTGGGTTTGCGGACTTTGGGTAAACTAGGGCGACGTTCTAGTGCTAGATTTAGACCTTCGGCAAAATGTATTGACACTATCGTTTGGTTTCAGTGTGGTAGAGTCCGCAATTGAGGGCTCTAACCGTCACTTTGTACGAAAACTTCCTTGAACAGGCTCATTAGCATATCTAGGGTGGCAAGATGAGCAAGGTATCGTTTAGGGCTCGGGCGCTGGACGCCACGAAGCCCATGCCTGTTTTCAGGGCGGATGAGATACCTGATCTACCTGATTTTGCAACGATCAACAGATCTGTACCTCTGATGCCGACTGGAATGGAAAAAGAAGAGGAAACGGTACGTTGCCTTTGTTTAGAGCAACCGGAATTTGTGATTGGCCGCCATCTTGGTGGCGCGCACTTTACCTAGATTCATTCGAAAGGGACATTAAGAGGCGATTGCGCTACTTATTGATGTTGTTGCTGCATTTCATGGATATCATTGTGTTCATGACTCTGAAAATATTGCCAAGAAACGTCCAGTCTTTGTCTGTGAGCATTATTTTGTCCCTAAGTCACGTGACATCAAGCGCCATATTTAGACAGTAGTGACGATATAATGCGAACTTGGTGTGTGTCAAAATTTCATCTCGTCGGAAAGTACAAAAGCTGACAGCATTCTCGGCTGTTGTGGACTACCTTTGTTATTTAGAACGATTTCTTATGGACAAATAAACTGAAATAACTCCACAGTTTACAAGTAAATCAAGTTTTGTCTTATCTGGGTCAAGGGAATCCCTGCATTATAAGGGGGATTCCCCCTTTTGAACTTCTGCCAAATATTTTGCAAATATTGCAGTGTCTTTAACACATTAAGACCTGTTAGTATTAAAAGCTCATTAGTTATCTTTTTCTTGTTTTTTATTTTCATAATTAGATCTATTTGCTGTAAACAAACAGTAATGGTTGATGCTTAACTTGTATGCCCATTCAATCATGTTGCACATTTTGGTGAATTGGTGTTCAATTTGTTACCCAGGGGCATGTATGTTGTAGCTTGAGAAAAAGATATATATTTTGTTGTGCACATCATGCTTGTAAAGGTACGATACACGTATATTACGACTTGAAAACACTGGATTGGTTCGATGTCAGTGTGACTGTTCTAATTGAAAACAGCTAACCATTTGGGACTGAATGTGTTTCAGTGTTCAATTTTAGAGTAATCCCTGGACTGCAGAAAGTATGGGATTATTTAATAAGCACCCCTGGCCTTTTGCAGATTTTAGACAATGGGTGCATACATTCACATTGGGATACCTGTTAGGACACACCTCGTAAAACATTTCTCAAGTTCATTCCCTTCATGTTAACAATACATTTGACATCTTTCAGACTAATTAAAGTATTCTTTTGACATGTTAAGCATCAATTCCATGATAATGTTTACCAGTTCATGCTCATATTTTAATGTTGGGTGGTGCTACTTATGATCATTGTGGCAGTGTTATATTCCAGAAGAGTGGATCAGGAGCAATAACATGATGTTGTCATTGCCATGCTTGACATTCATTAATTATGAACTTTCATCTTCACTTTTTTGACAGTTTAGTTGATATAGTTTAAAATCTGTATTAATTGGGGTATGTGTAACACTCTAAAATGGCTTTTTCATATTGTAAACAATTAATAGTATTCCTCACATTATATTTTCAAAATCATTCATTATTTAATAAACAAGTTAGCCACCGACTGATTAAAAAGCTTTCCATTTGAAGTACTACCCACCTCAAGGATGAGTATTGTTTTGTTAACAATCTTTAAAAATGCTGTGGTACATTTGTATTAGGAGAAACAATACAGGTCATAGATAAACACGGTTTGCGTTACACAATATTTCCAAATGCCCTCACCTCATTTTGTGAATCTCCTCATATCAGTATTTACTCAGTCCCTTTTGGCACGCCAGAAACCTATGATTGTGGGTTTGAATCCCGGTTCATCCCGATTATGTTTCTAGGTTTGTCAGCACCATACCTATTGCTCGTTGGTTTCACCTAAGTGGTAAATGTCTGAGACATGCATCACTTCGGGCTTTCCTCCCACTTTAAGCTGACATGCCGTGATATAACTGGAATACTGTTAAAAGCATCACAGTATTCACTCAGCCAGACAGTGCATACTAACAGTCACTGAGTCAGGAATGTCTTGGTTGTCTTTCTGTAGTTGAGCAAAAAATATACCTGGACTATTGTTAATTAATTTTAACTTCTAAGTTTTTGGTTACTTGACAACACATTGCTTATTACTATTAGCAATATGCTCTGTGTTAATTCAGCATGCTGCAGCAGCCTATAAAAGTTTGGGACATTTTCTGAAAATACAGACACTATTACAAAGAACTATTTCTTCACAACAAAAGAGTCTTTTCTTCACTTTTCAGTCTAGTAGTAGTAAGTTTTGCTAATTAAAGTTGCCTCATTGACACTAAGATCCAACTGAAAGTGATGTCAAGTGCCAGGTTTGAGCAAGTAAACTCAAAAAGTTATGGCACAGACTGCTAATACATCTGTAGATCTTTGATGGATATTAAGGTTAGTAATAAGTGATGGGTGTAAATTTAACTGTGACCTTTATGGTATCAAAGCAAGTGTTTAGTTTGCCCTCTGGTCATGTTAATGATACAGAGCATTCATCTCACTTTGTAGGTTTGTTCTGTCATTATATTTTTATTGAGAGAAAAGTGTTACTGCATTTGGTCTGATTGCTATGAAATACCAGTGTCTAAAATATATACCTGCCTGACAGCCTGACCATCTTTTTTGGTCCCAGGTTCTCAACTTTTACACTATGCACGTCTGTGAGAGTTCCATTTTGTAGATTTAGTTAATAAAATGAAGAATATGTACTAAGTTTACTTAAACCATGAGTGACATTTAGATAATGACCCATTATTAATATATATCGCAGAAAACATGCAATAAATTTGTTCATGTATGAGTCTAGATCAACAATCTGAATTATTCTCATCAGTAGTGTTTAGTCTGCATTGTTCAGTCCAGAGTATCGTCACGATATGGCTGAAATATTGCCGATGTGACGTTAAGCTTTAACTCACTCACTCACTCACTCAGTCCAGAGTAAGAGAAATCAGGACTGACAATGTTTTTTCCAGATTTGTCAGTCCATCTGTCTGATTTGAAGTTTATATGAATCTTAAACACTGCAATTTCAGTTTGTCGGGAACTATAAATTTTTGCAAAAGCACATCCAGAGGTTCCTTAAACGCTAAACATGGGTGTTACACTTGAAAATATTACTGATATTTAATGTTGATGTTCATTGTTGATAGTTGTTTGTAATGTTTGTCACATTTTTGCAAACTGATTGTCAAAACTCTTTGAAAGTGTATACCATTTTGTTCAGTGACCATATCCAAAACACATTCCTACCACATTTCGGTGATGGTACTGCATTATTAGACATACAGGCAAGAAACCTTGTTTACTCTTTCCAAGTTCAAAACTTTACAATGATTTAATACTGAACTGACCATAAGACTCCTAAGACTGTACAGACTCCTGTCAATGTCATAAGTTTATAAACTTAACTGCTAAATCATTGTTAGGATTTTCCACTTTTGAATGGCAACAAGTTGTTCAAATGATTCACCACAAGATCCTGTTCACCGAATGAAAACTTTTGTCTCACCAGCTTCCTATAAAAAAGCTAATTCATCAGGGAGATTAAATTTTTCTGACTGCTAGCCTTCATCATAGATTATGAAGCTTTGTGTAAATTTCTAATGCAGATGTAACAGACTTCTTTACTTGTATTTATTCATTGACATCTAGTGGCCAGGATTGTTCATACACTTATCAAATTATTGTTAAAAGAGCATCAACTACACATATGGACAGTAATTAGCACTCCCCTGTTGTCAGAAGCAAGCTTCCCCATGTTTGACAATATCCTTTTAATATCAATTGCTGCTCCAGGATCTTAGTTGCAAACCCATGATTCACTCCAAATATGATCCTTTGTCTACCAGAACCACCCCAGTGCACATGGCTTTGATAAAAGTGATAAAGTTGATCATTTGCATCATTTAGTGTTTTCTGAGCACACCAGTAGAACTGGTATACTGTTCAAAGCAGCTTTAAAGACTACAGTCACAATATCATGCCCCCTTAATGATCTTCGCCTTGAAGTCGAAGCGTTTGCTCACGCCAAAGGCTTTGGTTTTATTCCCATTTCTAGTATCCACTGCCATCATATAGCTGGAATGTAGCTAAAAGCTGTGTAAAACCTAACTTAGTCACACACCACAATGATCTAGTACACTTTCAGGGGTAGACACCGTGGGTCCTATCCAACTGGTCAGCAGTTCATTTGTGACTAGTGGTTTAATGTAAACAATGGCTAGATTTTAGTAGGAAAACAATTAGTCCAGTGTATGGCACCAAGAAGTATCACATTGGGCTATCAAGAAATATATTCTGGTAGTCCCAAAACCTTGAAAGGTGGACCACCCAACATGCGAAATGCTCTGCAATCGTCCCCCTTGGTAATTAGAGGGGCATGCACGCCGTGAAAATTTAACATTCAGACTGCAAATGGGGCAATCTGGAGGAAGAATTGAAGAACTTTTTCAAACAATGCTTGTTAAATTTTTAGCTGGATAAATGAATAGATAACAGTGACAAATTGACACGATTACGAAGTCAGAATGTCAAAATGTGTAAGCAAATTTATTGCTTCAATGTTCTAATTGATCCTTTGATTTAATCAGATTATCATAGACAATCGGTCACTCACATCGTACACCAATTAGAACTTTTTTATCCATGGGCCATAGGCCTACCGTTTGTGTTGTACACTGCTAGTCCCTCTGAAATTGTGGCCGTGGCTAACACCCTTTGGCAGCTGCATTTCTTGAGGTGTAGCAATACAGTAAGTAAGCGAATGTATACGTATCATAAAACATAGGTTATGATATGAAACACTGTACATATTTCAAAATACCTTTCCTCTTTCCCCTTCGATGACTTTTCTGGGACAAACAAAAGAGAAATGAACTTTGACAAATGTACATCTATTTTTTTAACAAATTATCAGTGAATCACATTGATGGTATTGATAAACATAATAAAATGGAAATAAATAATGTTAATCATTTACTTTTCGATCATTTTGATACAGAAATAAACCTTGTCTGAAGATACGGTATTCTTTCAGGAATGCTTTATTATTTATGTCAGTCAGGATACCTTAGCAACTTCAGAAGCATTGTGTTAAATTTTGGATATGTGTTGGGTGTTATTAGGAATAATGCATTGTAATCTGTGTTGTAGGACAGAGCAGTACTTCACAATACTATTGCAATATTTGTACATGTAATATCACAGTTTGTTTCGCTGTCACAATACTATTGCAATGGTAGAAACAAATGCCTCAAAAGCCACTCCAACCAAGGATCCGAGAAGTTCCTCTTGTAGACTGTCAAAACTTCCAAACTTAATCATAGATTGCAAGTCGACATCAACAGCAACATTCACTTGTCTTCGAAAAATTGAAAGTTGTTCCATCAACCAAATTTGAATTTCAGGACTTTGCTACACTGCAGCAGTATAAACAGTAAACTACATTTATAACAAACACACTTATAACAAACTGACGGATATAACAAACTGCTTTTTGGTCCTGTCCATTTGCTGTATATATATATGCTTATAAGGAACTACGGATATAATGAACTAAAACTAGTGATCCGATTGAACCGTAGTTTACTGTATATTTGTATTGAACTGTGGACAAGTGCTTTTCCTCATGGTTCTTTCTAGGCTGACAGACATGTTAGTGATGTGATCTTGAACACGACATAGAAGAATTAATGACCAATATACAATTCATTTTACACTAGTATTGAATGATTCATGAAAGGATCAAATATGGTTAAATAATATAATATTTGGATGGAAAATATGCTGCATAAGGTAAGAGCAAGCAAGATCAGATATCTAGGCCTATGTTTTAAAATATGAGACAAATCTTTCTAGATATTATGTACACCCACAAAGTGGCTTTGAGTTATAGGTATTAGTGATCTTGCCTGGAGTATATTTCTGTGAGCACTATACTAGCCTGTTGGACTGACTTGAAACATGCAGAGGTTTCCCCGCATGGATTCCAATGCATGGCAGACAGTTCTGTTCAAAGTGATTGTAGTGCTAAAACAATCTTTAATCCAATACCCGAACAATCTTACAAGTCATAACACTAAGATTGCTTTGTGAAATAAGAGCCAGGTCCCCAGCACTTAATGTTTGTCTTAGCAGCACTGAAATGTGTCCCCTTCTCAGTTGCTAATTGTGTAAGTGTTACCCAGTTCCTTTGTCAAAATGATGGGCATTATGTTTGATTCATTGTGTAAATGCCTGGTATGGGCCTGTAACGTTACACTTTTGGAAAGAATACACATACATACAGAGGATGTTTCAGTAGATATTTTTATAATAGCTGTGCGACCCATGAAGATCCATGTTAGAAAAGGTCTTCAGCAGCCCATGCATGTTGTAAGAGGCGACTAACAGGATTGGATGGTCAGACTCGCTGACTTGCTTGATGCAAGTCATCGTATCCCAGTTGCGTATATATATTGATGCTCATGATGTCAATCATTGGATTGTCTGGTCAAGATCAGATTATTTTACAGACCACCGTCACATAGTTGGTATTTTGTTGAATGTGGCATTAAACAACGAACAGACCAAACTCATTATGTTGGTTGTTTCTTGGTAATATTACCCTTGATCACTTGCTGTGCTGAGTTAGAGGCGTGCCAGAAACTTATGATCATGGGTTCATATTCCAGATTCTGCCTGATTTCAAGGTTTGTCAACACCCACAACCATAGGTTCTTCAAACTGATAGTATCAAACATCTATATCATTTCCGTCTTTTCTCCCACATCAAGCTGGTAGTGATATTACTGAAATGCTGTTCAGAGCAACATTCAACACATCTCACTCACTGTTGCTGGACAGCTGCATCATAAAGTAATATTCAGACTGAATTATTAAAAAAACAAGTTTTATTTGTCTGTCATTGGCTTTGATGATTGTGTGTTGCCTTTGGGATTTAAATAACAAAATCTATACCACAGGGTAGCGAATTTATTCTGTCACTACAACATTTAAGAAATCCTGTAGAAAAAGCAAATATTTATCAAGAATTGTAATTGGTTTATTAACAGGGATATTTATGATACTTTATTCATACAAATTGAATGAAAGTATTTGTTGACATGGTTGATTAGTGCCCAGGGTGCAGTTGTACAAAATGATCTTAGCGCTTATTTGACCAGTACCATAACATAGACTTCCTACAGCCCTGGCGCTATGGTTTTGTACAACCACACCCAGGGCCCACTTGCGCAAAGAAGAGGCGACTGACTGGATTGGGTGGTCAGGCTTGCTGATTTGGTTGATGCATGTCATCGTATCCCAATTGCGTGGATCGATGTTCATGATGTCAATCACTGGATTGTCTGGTCCAGACACGATTATGTACAGACGGCCGTAATATAGCTGGAATATTGCTGAGTGCGGCATTAAACAACAAATAAACAAAGCAATCTTCACTCTACAATGATCAAAACTCCTATACTCTTACATACACTTAAGATAGTTGTAGCACTAAGATTGCTTCATGCAAGTGGGCCCAGGGCTCTTGAGTTCCCCAGCAGTTAGACACAAGGTACCCATGAACTACCATTTATCCTGACAAGCACCAGTTCGCTAGTCCCCAGAACAGTGAAAATGACTAGTTTTCTTCCCAAATCTAGTTTCCTGACTGAGTTCCCAGTCAAAATGGTCAGTGGAGTAGGTGGGTTTAATTCAATGTGTTGACATAAGGACGACAATATAGGTTTTTGAAAGGATTTCTCAAATTGTCACTTTTATGGATTCATGTAACATTGTTAGTTGTGTCTTGGTGATATTTCTCCATCGTGTATCTTGAAGACCCATGCTTGCCATAAAAGGCGACTATGCTTGTCGTGAGAGGTGACTAACATGATAGTGTGGTCAGGCTCACTGACTTGGTTGATGCATGTCATCATATCCCAATTGCGTATATACCGATGCTCATGTAACAATCACTGGATTGTCTGATCCAGACTCAATTATTTACAGACCACCACCATATTTCTGGAATATTGCTGAGTGCAGTGTTAAACAACAAGCAGTATATTATATTGCATTTATTGTAACCTACATACAGCTACGCATTTTATTCTACCAGACTTAACCTAAACTTACATGATTGCAGGAGCACCATCTTCAGAGAGCCTTGTCCGCACAGCAGGTCTATGGGACATCCGAGGCACTGGTTATTCCTATACCTGAAGTGGAGGATATTGCCGAGAAGTATGACCAATATTACAAGCAGGACTTCAAACTGGGGAAGCAGTACATCCACATTCAGGGTAGGAATACCACATTCATGACAGTATCAAAGGGATTGTCCTGCTTGCCTTTGGCTGTTTGTCTCAGACAAATTGTCCCAGTTACCACAGATAATGACCTATCTGCTTTGGATGACTTAATTAATATGTCGCCAGTTCTCTCTTAGTTTACGATCTGATCTCACAGTGAATTCCTGAATATTTTATGTGAATTTTTAGCTAGCCTAACAAAATCAAGTGAGTTTATATTATGGCTTGCTTATCCAGCGTTAGCACCTGAATGCATTTTCTCAGAAATCACTGGACCAGTGAAGGTGAAATTTCATGTTTGTTCCCCTCAATGATGAGGTTAGAATCCAGGAATCACCTTCCTTTCTCTCTTCACTCTTTTGTTAAAAAGTTCTTTTTTAATAGTTCCTTTATTACCAAATTCAGAGGTATTTTTACAATTCAGTGCATTAATGTTAAACTAAGCATTTTCTTCTATATACTGGTTCTGTTAGCAAGAGGTTTTAAATCTGATTTTTCACTGTCGGCCAGGGGAGCTCTGTTTTGAAAAAACCTTTTTATCGTCTCGGCTCAAAATGGACTGGATGGACCCTCTTGTTTGAAATTGCCAGACTGGAAGCTGAACTTTAACATGACTTTCAAATTATTAGGATTTTACTGTGGTTTGGGGAAACAATTGAAATAATTGTATGGCAGACAAATGTTGAATTCCTTCGTAGGTATGTAACCCTAAGAATTTAAATTTTAAGTAAAGTAAAACTGTTGTGCAAAAAAATTGCAACAATGTTCTAAAATACTACGTTAATTCTTGCAAATATGGAAAGTTGGTTACTGGTTTCATATTTATTATATTTTTGGCCTCAGAAAGTATTTGAATAGTAGCAGTGCTGACAGCATCTTTTGTTATATGGTTCTTTGTTAACATTTTAGACTGTTGACTACATATCAAGGTGAGCTACAGTGAGCTGGCACTATTTTTCTTTGACATTCAAATAAGTAGTAACTGTTTTCTGAGTTTTATACATAGCAACCCCCATATCTTTGTCCTACTCACAAACGTTAAATGCACTTTTGAAAATGTCCTTCAACAATAATATTTTAACAAAATGAAAGACAAGGACTACTGCCCTCATTCAACTTAAGATGTGCATTGGTGGCCATTTTATCCTGTTGATCTTTTATAATTTTTGCTCTGAAATGTTGATCAACATCAATAGGAACATCAATAAATAACTGAAATACACTGACTGAAACATAAGTACAGTTCTTGCTAATGGTAAATGGACCCAGCAGAAATAGCTGTTGCTGTTTGCATGGTTAGGCAAGTTCTAACATCAAAAACATAAAGAAAAATGTACCATATCTGAAGCAAATCCTCATGTCCTGGAATATTTTCAAAGTAAAACCCTACTGAGTGACTTTGCAACTGACGACCTGGCTTTGTTTTCTGGCAGCGTTTGGTATGGACCAGGAGATACCGGACTATGACATGGACAGCGAAGACGAGGGCTGGCTCAATGAGCAGGCCAAGAAGATGGAGATCACGCCTCTCAAGTTTGAAGAGATGATGGATAGGTTGGAAAAGGGCAGTGGTCAGCAGGTTAGTGCTGATTATATGTTATTGATGAGAAGCTTTCCCTGTTTCTACCAGTTCATCAGTCCACATGATCTGGTTTTATTAAAGTTCAGAACAGCACACCTATTTTTAGTTACTCCCCACTTCGCCATGCATGTATGAAATAACCAATGAGGATTAGATTGTTACATTGGTGTTGTTGCTCATAATGTCAACCTTTAGTTTACTTAGTTGAGACATGGTTATTGGCAGATCACCGTGGTAATTGTATGTCTAAATACTGTTGACTGTGAAGTAAAACAACATTCACCTACTCATTCACTGTAACAATATTTTCCTGCCCTTTGGAGGGTCAGCTGTGGCTACTGGTCCACAAGGCTGATGCTAGTGAAAATCTGCAAGATCATCTTATTTTACCGTAATGAACCCATTTTCAATAAATCAGACAGGGATTTATCTAGACCAGTAAGAGGTTGACATTTGACCCCATGGCAGCAGTTCTTCTGAAAAAAAATGAATTGAAATTAAAAACCTTCCCAACTTATTTTAATATAGTTAACTCATTTTAGGGCCTTGCTTCATTGAGTATGTGACCAATAAACATAAAGATAAAGAGGCTTTAATGATCAGTTTTAGATTTTTGCAGAGAGTACATTGATAAATAAGACAATTTTGTCTCGTTCACCATACATATAATAATGTTGCATGATGTGTCATTGCAGGTGGTTACCCTCCAGGAAGCTAAGTTGTTACTGAAAGAGGATGATGACCTTATCATTGCTGTGTATGACTATTGGCTCAATAAAAGGTTACGCACAGTGAGTATTGAAAGGAACATTTCAGAAGCATTTTTATTATTATTATTTCTCATTCTTCTCTCCCCTCCTGCTGCCTCTCTTTCCCCTCCACCAAAGCATATGGGGGATAATATAGTCATCACCTCGTCTGTTCGTCCATCAGTCCGTCCACAATCATTTCTTTTCTGAAGTGGAGCCTTTTGCTATTTGCAGCTCTCTTTTTTTTCATTTTTATTATTACAAATTTGATTTTTCCCTGTTTCCATGGAAACAAGCTAGACTTAGCTCAAAAGGAGGTTGGTGTTGTTTCCAGAGCTGAACTAAAAAACTGTTCAACATTTTTCATCCAAACTTGGTACATGTATTAATCATGGGTTGAAGTGGTGCCTGTTGCTACTAACAATTAAAAAATGGTGCCTTTTGGTATTAAGGGATTTTTAGAATTACTTTTTTTCCATTTCCACGGCAACAACTTTGATGTTTACTCTGTTCATATTGGTGTGTATCTTGACAGAAATACAAAGTTCCGAATCCCAATTCCAGGGAATTGTTGTGATAGCTGAATAACCACCCTTGTCTACGGACAGAAAGATTAGATAGAAATTCTCTCATCAAGTTGGACTGAAGTAACAGATGATTTGTTCTTTCAATTTTGGGGAGGCTGGGATGGATTTGTCATCTTCTGATGACTCTTGTTTTTATCCCCCGCCCAACAAAGTTTTCATCAAACTTTGCAGGTCTGTCAGGTACATGCTGAACTGGTGCCTTTGGCTATTTAGAAATTTTAGAAATTTTTATTTTTTATGTTTCCATGGCAACAAGATGGACTTAGGTTCTGTAAGGGTAGGGTTCGTTTCTGGAGCATAACTCATAAACCGTTCAATATTTTTTCATCAAACTTTGCAGGTTTGTCAGGTACATGCTGAACTGGTGCCTTTTGCTATTTAGAAATTTTAGAATTTTTTTATTTTTTTACGTTTCCATGGCAGCAAGATGGACTTAGGTTCCAAACTCTTCTTTTTTTTTACAATTTCCATGACAAGTTCCACCTTGGTTAAAAAAGGTTAGATTTTGTTTAGATTTAATTATGTCATAAATTCTGCAACAGGGGCGGGGGATATAGCCACGTTAGTGGCAAACTCTTGTTGTTTTTACTTTTCAAGCACGACTTCAGGCAATATAATAAAATACTTTGTTCACTGTTTATGATTGCTGAAACAAATAACGAATCATGAAGAATAAAATGTTAACCCTTTACAGCAACAACCATTGATAGCAACTGTGAAGACAGAGAAGCGAGATGGGTCAACAACTAATAACCCATACGTGGCCTTCCGACGGAGAACTGAGAAGATGCAAACTAGAAAGGTACAGAGCTTACTGTTTTTTCTGGCCTTCAAGGAAGTATTGGTAATGAAGAGCTGATGCAAAAATTGTAAATACTACGCAATATTTGAATTAGGCACAAAAGGCAGTGAGTTCTTTTCATAATCCTAATGTTTAACGTTAAGGGCTGTCCAGTGACCGTAATTGTCACGATGAAGACCTCTTTGTCATCTCCTTGAGTCCAATACAATTCATTTCAGAATCGCAAAAATGATGAAGTCTCATACGAGAAAATGCTGAAACTCAGGAGGGACCTCAGTCGAGCAGTGTGAGTATCTATATATATATCAGAATCGATGACCATGAAACAAATTACACCACAGAGGGAAATTGTAATCTATGCTTGTGTATAACAAACAGTGACGATGGAAATCTCATACATTAAACGTCCAAATTTGAGAGATTCACTTGCTTATTCCAGTGAAACCTGATAATGGCGATACACTCACCACTACTTGGTGACTTTAAAAATATGCAACAGAATTGTCGATTATTCTTGACTTTGGGTTGAAGTTACACCCTAATTAATTACTATCATGTTTTTGATGACCGTAATCAGGGTCTAGATCAAGGGAGGTAACTCACAAAGGACAAAGGAAACTGGCACATGAAGTATGCAGACTACATACTTTGTACCACAATAAAGAAAACAACTGAATTGCTGAACCGATTCAAGCTCTCTAATCAAAATCAGATGAACAACTAATCAACTTAGAATTAGATTTAACACAGCATTCATCCTCATACCTGTCTTCTATTAAATTATGAATCAAAAGTCAACTATGAAAGACACTCGGGCAGATGTTATATAGCAGCTGAATGTTAGGAGGGCATTGCACAAATCACCATTGAAATAGGCAAATAATAAGACATTTGTTAGTTTTATGATGACCTAGAAAAATAAGTATCCTGGCCAGTAAAGATTCTGTTTTGGCCAATATTAAACTTAGTTGGCAACCATTTAATTTAAAAATTAACTTTGATCCCTGTAAATCTGAACTTCTTGGTCAAGTCATTTTGTTTCCAGGCCATCATGAAAGGTCTTTGACAATGATATGCAATGTAAAACATTATTCATTTGTTATTTTGTTTCTTTCTGATTTTGCAGTACATTGCTGGAGGTGATCAAGAGAAGGGAAAAGTCCAAGAAGGAGTTGCTTCAGTTAACGATCGAAGTTTTAGAGAAAAGGTGAGAAAGCATGTAACCTCGTGACCTGTCTAAGAATTCTACATTTTTCTTTGTATCAAGGAGTGAATACTCGAACATTCGGGTCTTCGGTTTAAATTTTTTCAACCTTTTCATTTTTCTACAGATCTTAAAAACATGTGACCTCGGTTTCTACTTTGTTGAAATGTAGTTTCTTGAGTGATATCAGTTTGCGATATGTATTATATGTATAATCTGAATCATTTGCTGCTGGTTGACATCTTCTGAAATATTTCATCCTTGCTTATACAGTGTAACTTTGTGTATTGCAGGTACCAAAGTGAAGATTTTGATGGCAAGTTGTTAGCTCATGCTGAAGCTGAACGGCATAAGCATCCGTCTTTCATTCCACCATTTAGTCTCTCAAAGTCTGGGGAGTGGGTCCAGGGGGTGAATGGGGTAAGTATTGAAACATTTACCATATTTGTATGTAAAATTAACTTGAAAAATTACAATGTTTTCATCATGCCTTCTTGATGAAGACTAAAGGCTCCCATATTTGTATTTTGTTCACAATGACAAATCACTTACTTTTTTTAACCTGCAACATGACTTGAAACAGCATTTGAAACTTCTCTCCGTCCTGCCTCAGTTTTTAAAAACGAGTTCATTTCAAAATCATTATGATTATTTGTTCCTTAATCTGGTTGATTTGAAATAATTTCCCCGGACCATTATAAAACTGTTTGTCGTTTAGAGACCATTTTACTTGGTTTGCTTCATTCCTAGGTGTTTACATGATTGATTTCAAGGAATATTTAGACATCTAAAATCAAAATGTGTGATTGTTTGTGTGTTAATGTAAAATGAGGCAAGCTGAATTCTGATCTCTCGGGACTATCGAAAATCATTGGATTCCAAAGACATGACCACGAAATTAGTTACTCATTTCATTCTTGATTTCCAGGATATTGCCCCCAAACCCAAGAAGCGAGCATATCGAAAACGGAAACAATCCCAGCAGCAACAGCATCATCACCATCACAACCACCATCATCAAACGTCCAACATTACCTCATCCCACTACAGCGAAGTGGACATCTTGCATCCAGATATAGACAGCTCTGATGATGATGGGCTTTCTCCTGTGAGTTGGCTGCCAGCATTAAGACTTCTATTTGTTATTACAAAAGATTTGGCCTAAAATTCAATGTAGATGGTCGGGGGCAGAAATACAATTTTTATACTGCTACTAATCACTGATACCGTGTGAAACAGAATGTTGTTATACCCCTGACCTAAAAGGGCGGGGATATATAGTTATGCCAAGGAATTCTGTCCGCCCGTCTTTCCAGGAGCCTTTTTCTTTGAGACTTATTACTTGAAAACCTCTTAATAGATACTTTTCAAACTTGGTTTGTTTTCAATATTTGGATTTTCTGAAAAAAATACAGCTATTTTCATTTTTTTACTTAGAATTTTTTAACTGAACCATTTGTGCGAACCTATAACATTAAAACTACTTCATGGATTCTTTTCCAATTGGGGGTACAGTTTACATACTAATAGGAGAGGTGCAGTGCAAAGTTTAATTTTGATAAGTGGATTTTCTGAGAAAATATTGCGTTTTTTTCATGTTTTGAACTTCAAAAATGTTTGAGTCAAAGTCGGGGGTATTAGTGAGCCCTGCTCACTTTTGTCTTGTTTTAACTGGGATTGAAATCAGGTTAATTAATTTTGTGATGCTGATTGATTTGTTGATAATTCTTTTATGCTTGAAATAAGTTATTATGAAATGTTATTAGCAACATTATCCTTTCTTTTCAGGGTATGTCTCCATCTGATCATGAAGATGAAAATGATCCTGATGGTCCATTTGCCTTCAAGAGAAGGAAACATTGTCATTATTTCACTGTAAGTATATTTGCCTGTTCTGTTGACACAATGTGGGCCTTGTACACACCTGACCTGACTCTAACTCAGGACATAAGTGCACAAATATGTCTACTTGAAGTTTGATTGTCGAAACAGTAAGATGTCAGATGGCAGTATGCTGCCAAAATATGAAAAGAGTAGGGGCAGGGATCCCTTCAACATATAAATATGGGGTCATTTTCAAAACTTATGGGGCCAGACTCTCGAGAGATCATATGATAAAACTTCAAAACCTGATATGCAGGTTATTTATGCACATTACCGCCCACAAGTAATATAGACTAGCAATAAAAATAATGTTTTGCATGGCTTCTCTATCAGATGTATTGTTAAGAATTGCAGCAACTATGTCTGATTAATATATTAAATCTCAACAGCTTGTTTCTCATCACTGCCGTTAGTATGTCTCTTCAAGGTGATCATTCTGAAATTAGCCTCTGTCATTGAATTTGATTTCACATGATTAATACAAAGCTGACTACTCATAGTATTTGTCACCGACAATCACATGAAATCACGAAACCTGGTTCGTTGAAAATTCCTATCTTTTTCAGTCTTTGATTTAGAAGTGTCACTATCAAGTGCACTATTTAAGTGCACGATGGAAGCATTCTGTGTTTCACTCACCTGTGTATCTGGGTCATTTGAAGCAGAAAAATGGTTTGCATTATCAGAAGACAGTTTAAGGTTTAAGAAGTTAAAATTGATCTGTCTCTGAACCATTTCTTTCTGACCGTTTTCATATTTTCCTGTTTGGCCATTTGTTGCGGTAATGAATCGATAAAAATCATCCATATGACTACTTTATTTGCAAAAATGTGACTTAGAGTATGTGATATCTTTTCTGTATGCTAAATAGAAGATCCCATGGATCCTACCTTGTTTTCCCCTTTGGTGGTCCCAAGACAAATACTTCCTTTAATTCCTCATACTTGTCATAAAAGCCAACTAAATTAACTGTGTACAGTGTGTAACCAGAGCAGAATACACTCAAGGCATCTGATCCTAGGGCCCATTCAACAAAGTGGTCATAGCGCTGACAAGCGTATCACCCATATTTGACATTGACTTACGACAGTCATAGTGCTATGGGGGCGGTCGGGTAGCCTAGTTGTTAAAGCGTTCGCTCGTCACGCCGAAGACCCGGGTTCGATTCCCGACATGGGTACAATGTGTGAAGCCCATTTCTGGTGCCCCCTGCCGTGATGTTTCTGGAATATTGCTAAAAGCGGTGTAAAACCATACTCATACTCCCGCATAGTGCTATGATTCCTTTTTGGATTTGGGCACTGGTCATAACTTGGGGGTCCAGCGCAATGTGTCACCAGGGCAGAGTACATCTAGCATCTCAGGCTTTGCCGATTACATCTCCAAAGCCACTGTCAAGGAGTAAAAGACCATCTATGATTCATATTAAGTGGTGACATGTAGCATGCCCTTCTACAACAAGGATAGCTGCTCATGCATCAACCCCTTGCGTAATTTAACATAAAATATTCTTTCTGCAGCCTCTCATGGGTCGTCAAGGCAACTGGTCCTGGTGTAGTCCTGATGAAGGTGGCCTTGGTGATAAAAAATACAGATATTCTCTCATGTCACTACCTCCTCCAAGAAACTGTGTTGGGTTCTCCCGGCGGCGAGTTGGTAGGGGTGGGCGGTAAGTTGACATGCTATAATAGACTAATCTGTTTGTCTGATTGGATTTTTGTGGTGAGGTATTTTGATTATTGAGTTGAGGAATTTGGATTATTAAGTTGCAGGAGTGTGGATAATTAAGTTGAGGACGATTTCATTAAGAATTCTAACCCAAAGTTCAGGGTTTGAGGCATAAATAATAGGTCCATGGTAAACAATTACTTGCACACTGTGACAAATAGAGGCTACATGTCACACCCAGAGCAGTGGTGACATAGCATAACACCACTGCGACAGGCTAATTTGCATATCCCTTGACCTGACTATTCTCTGCCAAACAGATTAGCCTATGCAGGTATTTTGGGGCGCTTTACATATTGTTTTGCATAATTATCTAGATATGCTACTACAACTGAGACAGTGAAGTGCATGACAATATATATTTATACATCAAAGTGACCATATTGCTAGCTCTCTGTAGGGCTGCAATGACAGCATGTGGGGCCATACAAACAATGTAAACAAATGATAACTACGCAAATGGAAATAGTTTTTCACATTTTAAGATATTTTCTCAGTGAACTTAACTATTCAATGACATATTTATCTAGATGTGTAGACTTGTCAAAAAAGAAACAGATGAAAAACATTTGCAATATCTTGAATGGACTGTATAAGATGGGACATTGTCACATGGCACTAGCCTGTTGCAGAGGCACTATGCTGGCTGCATGAAACTCTGGGTAGGAGAGTGGCTACTTGTATGGTGGGAAAACTCATGGTTACATTGGGTATGTTGATGTACACTGTTTAGGGAACAAAGGTTCACATCCAGTTTAATGTGGTTGGAATACATACTGAGATGGTACTGGAATGATTGATATTGCTATCATGATCATTTCTAATGGTCTTTTTTATAGGATGAGATGTTTTAGAAACATTTAGATGTTGGTCTGGCTGCTGATCGCGGAAAATGTGAAATATATTATGAAACTAGAGAGAAAAACAAATTGCCAGACAATGCTATCGGTCAGCTGTATCCTTTTCTAGTTCTACAATGTTGCATTTCTTTCATGTCCAGAGTCATTATGGACCGAGCGTATACACCCTGGGACGATGGCCTAGACAGACTCGACCTGGGTGATCCCTCACATTCACCTGAAGTGCTCGGTGAATATGTCACATATATACGGGAAAGAAAAATGTAAGTGCAACAAGGCTTCTTTTGGTATTTATTTTTTAAGCCCTTGATCCACAAGTCTTGGTGATATAGCAGTGGTTGAAATAAAGCATAAGCGCCAAGGGTCAATGTTAAAGAATTTAAATGGGTCCTCAGATTCCAATACCAAGCAGCAAGTCTCAAGGACCCCAGGATTCCACCTAATTTCACTGAATAGGATTAAGGTTACTTACTTTGTTTTATGACTTTTGATCCTTTTACAGATGTTTTTGTTGTAGTTTTTCCCAGCTAAAGCTAATACTTACAAGTCAAGACTTGTTTGCCAATGGTAAATGTCAAATAACATAAGACTATCAACTGTACATTTATTTTCAGTCCTCATTTTCGTCCAAAAACTCCGCCCCCTGACAGTGACTCAAGGCATGGTAGTCGGTCACCGTCAAGTACTCCAGTGTCTGTTGAGTTTAACTTTGAGACCTTCCAGTCTCACAAAGAACAGTTGCTTGAAATGAAACGGGAACAGGAGGAAAAACTGCTTCAACTTGAAGCATCTGAGATAGACTCATCTGTGATTCTGGGCCAATCTTTCTCATCACAACCAACCTCAAGGTTTACATTGGACTCTGCCAGTGCCGAGTTTGCTGTGAGTGCAGTGATGAATTCTTCTCAGCTTCCCAGTGCAAATATTGGTGCTACAACTACTACTACTACTACATCCACTTCCTCATCCTCATCGAACAATTTAACTGCCCCCTCTGTTTCATTACCCCCTGTGTCAACATCACCATCATCGTTGTTGTCAGCGTCACTAACTGCACCACCAATTCTTGTGACAACACAGACGACCACGCCTACACCACCAACAGTTGCTGTCACAACAAATGGACCATTGATAGACAGTAAGGAATGATATAGTTGAAACATTTATTGTATACCTTATCAACAAGCACAATATTGCAGACTTCCTTGTGAAAATATTATCTCAGCGTTAGACAGGATTTAGTTTCTCTTCAGAGAGGACTAAGTCAGTTGACACTTGAGTTAAAAACTAGCTGCCTTGTTATGAAAAACAAATTTAAATCTTAAGCTATATACATCCGTATATATCCATTCCTAAGGGATTTGTGAACACATTTAGCCTAATATGAATGTCGGTGTGGGTTGAGGTACCTTGATACATGCAACATCCTGTGTTCTTTTCATAGGTAAAACAAGTGGACTTTCAACCTCACCAGCAGCTAACATTCTTCAGTTAAACTTCCCTCTCAATGTGTGTTCAGTGACAACGGCAGCAGTTACAACAGCTTTGACAGCAGCTACGTCGGTGAAGGTGTCTTCGGCATCAACGTTCATGAAGCCCACTGTAAACAACAAAGTGATGCCAGCCAACACCAGCACATTCAAGCTATCAACAACACCGGCCACAGCACTCAATTTGCTCAAGTGAGTTGGATACTGCACCTATTACTATAGACTTAACATTAAATTTTGCGATGAAAAAAGCCAGTGCCCTCTTGTTTGTGTTCCCATGAACATTTCAGACTAGAATTAGCTTTCAGACCATGCTTTCATTTAGTTTTGATGGAGGTTCTTTGTTTGTTTGTTTGTTTGTTGTTTAATGCCGCACTCAGCAATATTCCAGCTATATGAAGGCGTTCTGTAAATAATCGAGTCTGGACCAGACATTTCAGTGATTGATAACATCAGCATCGATCCACGCAATTGGGATCGATGACATGCATCAAACAAGTCAGCGAGCCTGACCACCTGATCCCATTAGTCGCCTTTTACGACAAGCATAGTCACCTTTTACGGCAAGCATGGGTTGCTGAAGACCTATTCTACCCCAGATCTTCTGATTGAGGTACCACACTAGAATCAGCCAAAGCTGATAGGAAAATACAATTTGGGTAGGTGGTCATTAGCATTATTGCAATGAATAGCTGCAAGATTGCTGATGTGTTAGCAATACTCACTCACTCACTCACTCACTCACTCACTCACTCACTCACTCACTCACTCACTCACTCACTCACTCACTCACTCACTCCCTTCATCAGCTCTCGGTGGAAGCACTGGTGGCCTAGCCTAATGTGCCATAATTTGCTGTGCAGAGTTGTGTCCCTTGGGCATGCCAGACACCTATGATTATGGGTTCGAATCTGGTTCACCTAGATTATATTTCTTGGTTGGTCAGCACCATGCCCATGCTAGTGGGTTTCACCAGTGGTAAACGTCCGAGACCTGCATCACTTCGGGCTTTCTTACATCTTTAAGCTCACACTGGAATACTGTTAAAAGTGGTGTAAAATCCAACTCACTCATCAACTCTCAGATTATTTCAGATTAAGTTTCAAAATTTTGAAATAATATATTTTCACTTGTAGACAAAACCATGAAGACCACAATGCTGTGAGCACCTTTAACAAAGACCAAGTTTTGCCAATGGATGTTACTTGATGGTCGGAGAGAGTAGTCTGCTGATTATTTACTCTTCAACACTGAGTGTGGGCTGGTACTGCCACCTGCTAGTGGCCCACACTCCTGCCCTACCAGTCTGACTCGCGATGGAGTTGGTGTAGTGCCAGACGACAGAACTCTTCATAACAACAGCCATTCGTACAACTCTGGCTGCAGTGCAACACCACATGTAGAAAAACATGCTTCGGGATGGGCAACACTCATTGTATTGTTTAGAATGTTGTGCATATATTCTTGTACAAGTGATGTGGGGACTAACAACAGAAATACTTGTCATGTGTGAAGTGCTTATGATTAAATCTAGATGCTACATGTTACAGCTGTTGTCCAGTTAAACACCCATGATAGTGATGCTGCAATTCTACGGGTAATTCTATGGAATGCGTGTGTGTGACATATAAATGGAATGTGTTATGTTATTCATCTTCTACATTCTCCCTCATCTCCATGTTTATCAAGTGCTTGACCATTACTTCCCAGTGTGTATCACAGGTAGTGATAGACAGGCATCAACTGCTTGACAATTTACTTCCTATAACACAGACAGATAGACAGGCGTCAGATGGGTATCTGCAATCACTTATTCCAATTTGATAAGATTCTGGAGAAGTTGAGTGTTACATATTCAGTTTTCATACTTGTTAAAATCATGTTAGAAAATATGATTCTTAAAGATCCCTAGGTTATTAGTAAACAAATCAAGTGAGTTCCTTGACATGGTATGTTGCAATCATGTCAGTACTGAAATGGGCAGATCCTCTTGTTTCAAGATAAGTTCAGTTGTAATCAAGAGATGTATGGGAAGTACCGTATAATTCTTAGAAGCAAAACCTGCATTCAAGAACAGAAAAGGAACTTCCATGGTATGATCGAATATGTGCATGAAATCCAGAGTGCCAAAATATTCACTTTAACATCTGTAATAAATTAAGCTCATCTGGTAAACTGACCCGTTCAAGTAATCCTGTACAAGCCCTGTTACAACATGTCAGTGTAAGGAATAAAGTTAACTTGTGAGAGAAAGTTTTGCAACAATTGTAGAAAATGACACCATAATGTTTTCCCTAACCTTTCATCTGATCCATTCTGGAGACATTCATATGGACTAAGCTGCCACTCAAAGGAGGTAACTCATGTTGCCTGTTACTGACAATGGTAGAATTCTTTTGATAAATTTTCTTATCCTCTTACTTGAACTTGAGAGTATTTCTTATGAAGTTTGTTTATTTTGTGCTTAATGGTCAGTAGTAACTATTATTAGGAGTACATGTATGTCAGACATCAGAATAAGTTGTCTCACACGTACAATGTTTCTTTGTCCATTGGTTCTACACCCACAGAAGTAGTAAGCAGGTATATATGTAGAAACAGCTTGAATTAAGGTGCTTGTAAATTAAATGATGAGCACAGGAGAAAAATCAAAAGACATGATCATAGATTAAAGCTTTCACCATTATCTCAACCAGTTGTTAGTGCCTGGGGCGTGTCCATCTTGATGAAAACACTGAGTAAGTGAACTTCTACAGTGTATAAATGAGACTAAAACATTTTCTATGCAGTCATCTGGAACAAATTCTGAAACTGCAAAATTGGAAATGTCTGAAAATAAATGTTTTGCATCTTGACAAAATTACCATAAGCAAAGTTTGTTTTTGAATGTGATCATTGAAGAATGTGAAGTTGTTAGTGATGCTATGAAGCTGAGAATGTTGGAGATTCTCTGTGTACCAGTTAGTGAGATGCGTGTGAGTTGCCACATATTGTGTGGCAGTTTGAGTGGCTGCATACTATGTGGCATTGTATCAGCAGAGGCACTGGAACGCTGATCATGAACTCCCACACAAACATCTTTTACCATAACTGTAAATAATTTTTAATTTTAAATAAGGTACTATTTTGCCATCCAGTTAATATTTTTCTCCCTTTTTTTTTCCCCTCAGGAAATAGGATGTTAAGTTATAGGGTACTACTAAAAAAAGCTGAGGACCACCCGATTCTTTCATATGGGTTACAGATGACAAGTAACTAGAGTAATATGAAAGAATCTGGTTGTCATTAACCTATTTTAGTTTATTTATGTATATCATAGCTTGAAAAATTTCACATCGTTTCTTATAAATATATATGTACGAATGTTACATGTAAAAAATTATTTTAAGAATAACAAATGAAATTTTTCTTCAAAATGAACGAAACTTTTAAAAATTCACTGCTCTTTATAAACCAGTACTGTTTGTAGAATCACAATCCTCTAGAATATCGCGCTAAAGTATAGATGCTGAAGTTCTGTATTATGTTTGTTACACACTTCCTAAGTGGCTTTTTCTTGTTGATGTTATGTAACATAGATGTATGTTGTCAGATGTTGATTTTCTGTTAGATGTGGATATAGATTAGGGAGCACTTAAAATCAAATGCTGAACACAATACATGCTCTGTGTTGCTCTACAATATATTTTGGATATTTCAGAAAAAAATTGTACTTGTCTTGAAATAATAGTTTGTTCATATCTCCAATATATAAAATTGTAAATGTATGGGAGGATATGTCAGTGTTGTACACAGGAAATCAAATTCTTTCTGCAAACTTAGCTGACTGAAATCGTGGAACATGTATCACTGTTAATGAATGTAAAGTCAACTCATGATGGACTATAGATGGCCATGGAGAAATATTATGTCCCCTTAACAATCCCACTTCTAATCCTTAAGCATGTTGATTTGAGGGTAATGTTTTTCAGGGTTAGAACTTGTAATGTTAAAACAATTGGGAAATTCAATTATCCCGCAGTAATATTTTGACAGCCCTGTGCTAGTGTTAAGTTCTAACCCTGTTTTTTGCAGTTTATTCAGATATTCCAAACTGTTTTATCATTCATTTGGTATTGGTATATCAAGTGTTGACTGTATTGCTAGGAAATCTTCTTTAACTTTACTTTCAGAAATGAACTAACTTGTTTTACAGTAAAGCTCATTTGGCAGTTATATTCTTGTTGGCATCAAGCTTAGGAGTGCCGACATATACAACAGATGAAAACTGCTGTAGGTCCACATTCCATGTAGATACTTAAGTTGTTTACCATCTTATTTTCAGCGTTCCAATACCTTGCAACCCTAGCCAAACCTCAAGTCATGTGTGATTGCCATTCTGACATCTTGTGTGATTCATACTCCGAAATTCTTATGCTTACTCATGATTAATTCTGCGATTGTTTTGGGTTTTTATTTGTTCAATCTTCAAATTTTAAGGTATGGAATACCTTATGAACTGTTTAGATATGAGGTTGTCAACAACCAGTTTAAACAACTCAAATTGAATCTACATTGCTATTTTGCATCTTCAAAATTAATGCTCCAATACATTTGGACAGAAAATTGTCAGTTACACTGTAGAGAAGTGGCTCTACATCAGGACACATATCTGGCTGGGGTCATATTGAGTCCTTGTTGCCAAAGGGTGACTGGAGATTTGGCTTGTACTTCTGTAAGCTAGCCGGACTGACTGATTGACGGAGAACTTGCTGAATGTAGAATGACGATTTCCTTCAAAGCACGGCTGGGTTAGAGATTGAGCAATGATCTGTGATATTGGGGGTGTGAGTGTATGCACACCAGGTTTTCATGAGAATAATAAACATTTGTACAGAGTCGAGAAACAAATCCATGTTTGTTGTCTTTATATCATTTCCGGATGTTTCATCAGATGTGACAACAAAGAACTTAAAAACTCTTCAGCCACAACAGAGTTTTTTTTGTCAATCTTCTCCTTGTAGGCATTCTGTGTTTATTTTGTACCCCAGTACAAGACTAAAATGAGGGGGAAAAATGTTCCAGTTCTGTGACATCAGATTACTGTCATGAATATGTATACATATATGTATGGTTTACACCACAACATTAAGTAACACTCACTTGCTGTCTATTAGTGTGTCATTTCATACCTCTTTGAAATGATCAAATCACTTTAAGCTTTTCTCTGACATTTTTCTGTTAAAAAAAATAATGATAAAAGTTTTAAGTTATCAATTGACAATTTCTAGGATTTCATGATCCCAGTGGTCCCCAGTATCCCACGCCTCTCTCTTGGCTGGGAGTCCTTACATCTAAGTGATTATAACTAATGAGAAAGGATGTAACCTTGTATCAGATGTGTGCTGAAAGTAACCTTCACTTTGTTCATAGAAATATGTGAGGAACGAGATTGACCCATTTGTTGTTGGGCATTAAGGGGCTAAAACAGGACTGGTCGGCTGGGAGTACAGTGTGTCTCAGTGGGGTATTCATGTTAAACGGCATGGTATCTCAGTAGGCTAGCACTATAAAATCGGCGTTAGTCAGGACAAGTACACGCACACTCGCACAAATGCACATTGCTATATAAGTGGAATAATTTTAAAGGCGACGTTAATCCTCAATTCACCTCGCCTCTGCAATGATTACCAAATATGGATCCTTTTGGCTATGTTTAGCCCTTCCGGGCAGTGTACATATAAGGTGAGTGAGTGAGTCCAAAATTACTACCCGGGTACCCACCCACCCTATTACCCGACCCTACCCGGGTACCCACTGTAGGTCTAAGGAGATGTCTCAAAATGTATAGACCTAGTATATAAAGAACAGACCTAGTAAAACGTATTTAGATACATGTATTCAACCATATAAAAAATCAGAAGGAATGGGTGCATAGTCACAAAGAAATGCGAACATTAGTGACTTGTAGTGTAACCATAGAGTTCTAGATAATTTTTGCCATTAAACAACATATCACGTGACTAACCACGGGTCCGGGTAGTCCTGTAGGTACTCGGGTCTTACTCAGTACCCACCCGCCCCGGGTACCTGAGTTACCCGTCCCAGCCCTTGTTCATATTGTGCCTGTATCTATCAATAGTCACTGTCAGGCAAGTTAAACATCGGTGCCATATATATCGGTGTCTATCAATGGGTACTATCGAGAAATATAAGATTTGTGCATTGTTCAGTGACCAGGATTCTTGTTTGGTGTACATGTAATTATCTGTATTCTCTGTTTGACATTCCCTGTCATATGCTGAGCAGAAAAGTTCAGAACTTTTGGAACGCAAGTTCCAAAGTATTGGAAATGTTGTGTTTGAATGGATTGGAAATGCTGAAATGATAACCGATGAACGGATGCCATGCAATGTGGCGTTCATTACACATAATGCACGCAGACACAACCACAGTCAAACAAAACCATGAATTTTTCATGTGAAGTCATGATCCGGGGTAAAAGCGTGTGCATTTTCCGTTAAGGTATCCTTTATTAAGGTTGATGTCAAATATTCACACCAGAAGGTCTACAGTTGAAAACAACGATGAATAAATTCAGACTGCCGCCTGTGGAAACAGGGATGGCCCTTGGAATGTTGCAGGTCAGTAACTCTGCAACTTCTGCAGCCAGTATCAGCAAACTCGATTTGACGACGTTTCCGCGCCGTCTCCACTCCACTGACGACAATCGTATGTTGGACCGACTTTGACACAACACGACGTTTACTTTGGTCTCGGCAACATCAACGTTGGCGAGTCTTGCTTCCAAGTTTCTTAGGCTGACGGCCGTGGACGTGTTTTGTGTCGCCGTTATAAACGTTACGGTGATTTCTGAGTCTTTTAGGCTAACATGTAGGGTGGTGAAAGTGTGATGGTTTGGGGAGCGTTCATCTACAACCATAGGTCCCAGCTTTTTGTGTTCCGACAACGTGTAACAGCTATTGTGTATAGGGATCAAGTTCTTCGTCCTCATGTTGTTCCCATGTTTGTTGCACATCCTCAACTGCAGTTGTTCCAACAGAACAACGCACGCCCTCATGCATCAGTGGTGCTGATAGCGTATCTTGCTCGGAACAACATCAACATTCTTTCGTGGCATGATACGAGTATGATACAGGTGGGAGTCATTCATGCCCACTTTTGCACGAACTTTTGGTTGCTCCCGTGTTGCTGTAACTAATAACCTGATGCAAACTTACAGACAGACCGGGCAGATGTCAGACAAGCCATAAACAGGCGGACCCAGGGTAACTACGCCCAAAGAAGACTGGTACTTGCGTATTTTGCATCTCCGGAATAGATTCCTGACAATGACGTCATCAGTGACGAATGTCTTAGGGCCTATGGTTAGTCGACAGACAGTGGCCAGGCAACTCAGGACTCAAGGAAATAGGGCTTACAGACGTTACAGAGGACAGTTGTTGACAGAGCCACATCGTCGTCAGAGATAGAGGTGGGCCCGGACTGTACGTCGTTTGAAGCGACGTGACTGGTAGAGGGTCATCTTCACTGATGAAAGCCGGTTGTGTCTGTTGGTGATGGAAAACAGCGCCGAAGGGGAGAACGAACGGCGGCATGTTGCGTTCAGGAGGTCGTGCCGAATGGTGGAGGGGGTGTTATGGTGCGGGGGGATGGGTGTGTGTGTGTGTGTGTGTGTGTGTGTGTGTGTGTGTGTGTGTGTGTTTGGGTAGGAGAGAATACCACTGGTCATCGTTAACGGAAATGTTACACGGAAATGTTACAGCTCAGCTTTACATGGATGACATTCTTCGTCAAACTGTCCTCCCATTTCTACAACAGTTGCCACGTGCTGTCCTCTATCAGCACAATGCCAGCGCCCATACAGTCCGAATCGTATAGAACTTCCTTGCAACCAGCAACGTCAACGTGTTGTCTGGGCCTGCACGCTGCATCTCTGGGATGGTCATGGATCCAGGCCCTCCAGAAGAATGACGACGTGTTGCCACGTGATGTCATCAGACGACTGACTTTTTCTGTGCGCTGGGTTTTGTTTGGGTGTCTTTTTGCAGGGGTAGTCATACACGCTATTAATGTGACGTGTCATTGAACTTGAGCGATTTTAGATGTGTATGCCCTTTGTCCATAACGTTGAAAGCTTGTTTTTCCTTACCCCCTCCCCTCCTCAATTCGGGCAACTGTCATGCCAATATCGAATGCTGTATGGCTGTTAATTTCCTTGAGATTTTGATATTTTCAATACATTTTACTTCATGCATTTGTCTTGTGATTAATAACTGAGTGATTTAAAACTATGGTAACGTTTCGTGGAAGTTAGTTTATAAATGGTCTCTGCTTGTAAATTTTGGCGGATTCGTACGCAAATGTTGAGTAACCCGTAACAACCCGTTCCTAATCAATTGATTAAAAAGCCTATTCGTACGTAATGAAAATGTATACACTCTTCAAAAAAAGAAACGCACAGATAGATTTTAAGTAAATTTATTGTATCTAAGAAAGTCGATATATTTAATATGATATAGATGCAAATATGAAATTTTTGAGCTCGATAGTCACACGTTGTCGTTGTACAAAGGTATTGAAAACTGTTCATTGTCATGTCACATAAAGCCACAAGGTTGCGCTTAACTCAGTATCTCGTGTGACCCGGGCAGCAGTCACGGCTCTGCATCTCCTCGGCACTGACAGGATAAGTGTACGAATTCTGTCCTGCGGAATTCTGTGCCATTCTGCGCCATTCTGCTTGTAACGCGTTGTCCAGTTGTGGGAGTGTCTGCGGCGTGTTCTGACGTTGACGTTCACGTCGACCGAGATCATCCCAGAGGTGTTCGATTTGGTTGAGATCTGGAGATCTCGACGGCCAGGGCAAGTGGTTGATGTTGACATTATGATGATAGTCTACCGTGACAAGAGCTATGTGCGGTGGAGCGTTGTCCTGTTGAAAAAGCTGCCTCTGGTGGTCAATGATTGGAAGTAGGTGAGGTTCATGTAGCGATTTGCTGTCAAATTTCCCTGAACCACAACCAAGTCAGATCTCGTGGTGTGTAGGATATGGCCCACCCACACCATGACACTACCGCACTCGAAATTGTCGAATTCACGTACACATTGTGGGGCAAAACGCTTATTTCGACGTCGATAAACACTTTGTCTTCCATCTTGCCGGTGAAGAAGAAATCGCGATTCATCGCTAAACCACACACGTCTCTAGTTTCTCAAATTCCAAGGCTGTAAGGTATGGCACCAACGCAAGCGTCGCTGTCGATGGATCTGTTGCAAAACAGGGACGATAACTGGTCTTCTGGGTCGGAAGATGGTTCCTGACAGTCTGGTCCGATATCCTCCTCAAACATGGATGCTTCATGCAGTCTCCGTTGTGGCATTGCGATGACGTAGGTGGAACTGTCGAATGTAGCGATCCTGTGCAGGGTAGGTAACTCTTGGTCGGCCGGTTCTCAGTCGGTCTGCAGTTGAATTGAACTGTGTGTATCAGTCACAAAAGCGGCAAATTGTGCTGTGGTGGACGTCGAAGTGGCGTGCAACAGAAGACTGCGAATCCCCTAGCTCCTTCGATACGTCCTGTGGCGATGTTTCGATCGGCAGCGCTGAGTCTCCGCATTTTCTAACTTGAAAAATGTTGACAATTGAATGACAAATTATTGGCTTATGCTTGCCTATTTATAGCCACTACCACGAGTTACGAATGCCATGACTTGCACGTGCATTTTGCTTTACTGTTTTCCTCCATGACATTTTTGAACAAGTGTGAAAACAATGCCATTTAGACATTGCAAATCGACAGTGGCTTCGTTTTGACGCAACGTTTGTCGAATATCAGGCCACAAACATTTAGGAGATAAACATACTGTGTTTTCAAAGTAGAGCTAGGTTACCTGTAGATTTAATCGCGCTAAATTGAATTTGGAAGCGAACGCGCAGTTTGTTTACACCGTTATACTTCACTCGAACATATGATAGGCATTGAAAGCATATAAGCACTGCAACTTGGTAAGCTAACATGAGGCGGGCATCCCTAAAGAAAACAAAGCATGCTTTGCAAGGCTTTCGCTCTACATCGCGCGTTACCATTATGACGTCATATCGCTGGTAAACGCACAGGTAGTATGTAGTTCATTGAACCAGACTACAAAAAAATCCGGTATATAAATTGAATATATGTTATTGGAAATTCTACCATGAATTTGGAATTTACTCGATTCTGATTGGTCAATCAGAGGCTATTAAATCACAATAAACCCCCTCTGATTGAAACAGCTGGTTTGACGGCCGCATCACCGCCGAAGCTAATATTCATAGAATAGTACTATTTTTAGTCATTGTCGGTAGGCATATTTAAATAATTATATCTAAAATTACAGGTTACAAAATGCACAGATGCGGTTACTACAATATTCAAAGGATGTGTGGCAATACATTTCGTGCAGAATAACACGACAGAAATCAACAAAGGGAATGTATTTACATTTTGGAGACAACAGAGAGCTTGGAATTTTGGCGCTTTTCTATATACGTCTGTGATGTCATATCTTTTGCGTCAAAATGAGCGATATGACGTCATAATAGTGACGTGCGATGTGGAACGAAAGCCTTGCAAAGCTTGCTTTGTTTTCTTTAGGGATGCCCACCTTATGTTAGCTTACCAAGTTGCTGTGGTTATATATGCTTTCAATGCCTTGTCATATCTTCGAGCATGTCGAGTGAAGTATTACGGTGTAAACAAACTGCTTGAGTATATACATCACCATATTTTGTTCGGGGATTCCGTCATTCAGATCGTTAACCCACTCAAAACACTGAACTCAACCCATGCCGCTTCACTCAGTATATTTGCTAACACCAAAGAATTCGCGTTTTATTTAGTCATGGGAGAACGGAGATAAACATACTGTGTTTTCAATGTAGAGCTAGGTTACCTGTAGATTTAACCGCGCTAAATTTAACATTTGAAACCTCACGCTGCGCGTTCGGTTCCAAATTCAATTTAGCGGGGTTAAATCTACAGGTAACCTAGCTCTACATTGAAAACACAGTATGTTTATCTCCTAAGTATCCTATCGTTTATGTTGACATGAGCCTTGGAAACCGCGTCCTTTACAGAATGTGAAATAGCTAGGGCGGGGACGAGTCCACATTTAGTACCCGGGTACATGACCCCCTTTTACCTGACCCTACCCGGATGTCCACTGTAGGTCTCAAGTGGGATACAAAATGTTCAGTTGGGAAATTGTTTTACTGATGCCCTGACAAAAAGTATTTAGATAGGGTACAAAATGATCTGATCATGCATACACTGAAGTTGACTGAAGCTTTGTTTTTACTCAAACATATAAAGGAATGTGCGCGTAATCAGAAAGAAATGCGAACATTAGCGACTTATACTGGTGTAATCATAAATTTTTATCGTTATTATAATTAAACAATATATCACATGACTAACCACGGGTCCGGGTACTCAGGACCCACCCGACCCGAGTTACCAGTCCCAGCCCTAGAAGTAGCACCAGATGGCTAATTGACCCGACCGAACATATAATTTATCAACATTCAACCTGGTAAATTTAGACTGCGAGATGTACCCAGTGAGGGACCTGGTCCGACGTTTTGAGTTGTAGACACATCAGAGCAAACATTGGAAACATTCGCCCCCGTCATACCAAAGACGTACAGAAGAAGATTTACAGTAACTGGGCAATACTACGCCACAGAACGATGTTAGCTTTGAGAAGCAATCCAAGGAAATGAACTGTCTGTAAAAATAATAACTCTAAATCTACTGAGCAAAATATAACAATATGCGAGTTCTGACTCGTCAGCTGGTGATAGACAGCTCATAAACCCACCCCACCCCAAACAAAACAAACAACATATTTGGTGACACGTATGATACTTTATTTTGTCTTTTGTTGGTCCGTCTGTTGTTGGTTGAATGGACACTCAGCGTAAACTCCCGAGGTTTTCCGTCTGTCAAAGGGAGACCACTCTAAATTTGTTTCTTACATTCAGTGCTGTATTTGCCGCCAAATTCGTCTTTCAGTAGCGATTGATACAATTCAAGTGGTAAGTATTTGGCTTATTCATAGTGTTTATTTATAGTGTGTGTTATGTAACAGTCGGCACGATTTAGAGTTTGATTTCCCTTTGAAAGAATTGGAGTTCTCTGTTCAGGAGACGGCTCTGGTAGTGTGAGCGTAACTGACAGTGAGTTTTTGTTGCCAGTGTCACTACTCGAAGTGCATCGTTTTCACGGGGACGTGCACATTTTATTATCTCTGACTGTATCCCACTGTTGACGCTATAATGATCTCTCTTGTACGTTATTAGGGAAAACCTTCAAGAAACAGAAAAATCAAAGCTATTTGCGTGTCATCGTTCCCAGATGATTTACAGGCTGCGTGATAGCCTAGCTGGAAATTAGTGGAATATTACTTACTGTATCGTTACAACAAACAAACACGATGAATAATTAATGCTTGTCTACCGCCACCAGGCATACCTGTTAGCAAGCCGCCAGAGTGAGCCAAGTGTCGAAAATGACCATAACATTCCCTCATAATGGTATTCCACAGAGCTTTTGATCCAAAGTCGATGCCTTGTCAAAATGAACAAATGTTGACACAGTACGGATGTCATCTGGGGGATATGACCAATAACTCCAAGCACTGCTACATCAACACATCACATCGAGCCTAACTCTTTGAACTACAGTTTATCTGGTTGACAATATTTTTATTTAATTCAAACCAGGTATACAAGTTTCAACAACCTATGCTGGTGGTAAGAGGCAACCAAATGGATCAGGTGGTCAGTCTTGGTTACTTGGCAGTTTGTGCTTCATTGTACCCTGACGGTGGATCTTTCTCACACTTTCCATCTCAGGATGGTCTGGTCCAGACTCAGTATTAACAAGCCACTGTCATATAGCTGGAATATTGCTGAGCATGCTGAATGTGGCATTAAACAACAAATAAAATTAAGATCAAAACAAGTAAATTCTTCTGTGTATGAAATGTAGCGTGGACCTATTCATATTTCAGCCACTAGTGTGTTGTGGTAGCATCCGTTACCATGGTGATGCATGTGGAACTACAGGCTACTTGCAGCGCCCTTGGATACCAGGAGGGGGACAAATATGTTAAGGAACCGGACTGCCTGGGTGAGAAATGTCTTCTTGTTATCACTGATGCCTAATGTACCATAAACATGGCCTATTCATAGACTTTCTATTTGTTTAAATTTTTACTTTAAAACAGAAAAATTAATCATTGTTTAACAATGTTTAATACATGTAATATTACTTCTTTTTATTACTGGAAGATATATTCTACATGAAACCATTGTACCACAGGTGGTAGAGTTTTGATTATGATGACTTTGAAAGATTGCATGGTATAAATATGATACAGCTATAGATAAGCTTTTGGTTGTCTGGGTATTTTACCCAGGGGTTTGATTTTGATTGGGTATCCACAATTTTTAGAGGGTAGTCAATTTTTTTTATCCATCATTTTCTTGACATTTGGGTATTTTAACTTGAAAACCTGTTTCAAATAAACCCTGTAAATCATTTAAAATTATGTAAATAATAGTGCTTGCGGCTCCCTCTCCGGGAAGCCATTTTTATGTGCAAAACCTAGCATTGTAAGAAAGGTGCTATTTCTTTAAATCACCAATCAGCGACTGTTTAAGAAACAACAATTTCATTGACTAGGTACGATGTTCTTTTTAACTGAGGTATAGGTAACTCTATCAGTATGTTTGTCACACAAGCTTTTCAGAATGTAAGTTGATAAGTGAAATTCGCTATCGACTGCACAATCATTTTGTCCAATAATTGTAACATACGCAACCCTTTTATCTAATAGTTGTAATATACGCATTAATTATATTTCAATAGTGTATTTATTGTTTTTGTTGTGTATTTGATGCGTTAGGATTTGATTCGTCTGCATATTTCAGTTTATTTAATGTATATTGTAAGTAAATACGCAAAATAATTTCTGTTATAGAAACTGTAAAAGATCTGATTCGCTTCCTGAAGCGTGAGGATGACACATGTGACATTCGCCGGCAGCTCGGACATGCACAGATACTGCAGAAAGATCTGATCCCGATCCTGAAGCACTACCAGGATGAAGCTACACTCTTTGAGACCGTGCTCAGGTACAGTTGCACTTCAAGTTTAGTTACCATGGTTACGTATTTGCATGAATTGACATGCTCTAGGAACCCGTGAAGATCCGGGGAAGAATAGGTCTTCAACCCATGCTTGCTGTAAAAGGCGACTGCTTGTCGTAAGAGGCGACTAATGGGATCGAGTGGTCAGGCTCGCTGACTTGGTTGATGCATGTCATTGATCCCAATTGCATGGATCAATGATCATGGTGTCAATCACTGGTTTGTCTGGTACAGACTTGATTATTTACAGATTGCTGTCATGTAGCTGGATTATTGCTGAGTGCGGCATTAAACAACAAACATAAAAAACATGCTCTAGGTCCAGTTTCATGTTTCAATGTCTTCTCTGACTCGAAGAAAGTCCCCATGATCAGGAGGGAGAAAGGCACCTCGCCAGAATCTCCCTCCCTCACAGGGAACTTAGTGTAGAACAGGGTATGTTGTAGCAGAAGACCGTGTGCGTGATCAGCATAGGTCTTTCTGGTTACATGGTCTAGTGGTAGATCGTCTGCCCGGAGAGTGGAATGTCCGGAGTTTGATCTGCGGCCATGTCATACCAAAAGACATTTAAAGATGGTACTTGTTGTTACCCTGCCTGGCATTCGTCATTTTTGGGCTAAAACAATGACTGGTCAGCTTGGAATCAGTATACTGTGTTTGTGTCAGTATAACTGCAGCATGGTATCTCAGTGGGCTAGCACTATAAAATTGGCATTAGCCTGGACTAGTACAAGCATCCATGTCACTCTTTAAGTGCAATAATCTTGAACACAACGTTAAAACTTATTTCACCTCACCTCTTTCTGGGTTATCAGTGAACCATATGTACAATCTGTGTATTGGTAACAGTGAATCGTATGTACAATCTGTGTATTGGTAACAGTGAATCGTATGTACAATCTGTGTATTGGTTACAGTGAATCGTATGAACAATCTGTGTATTGGAAACAGTGAATCGTATGTACAATCTGTGTATTGGTAACAGTGAATCGTATGTACAATCTGTGTATTGGTTACAGTGAATTGTATGTACAATCTGTGTATTGGTAACAGTGAATCGAGTGTACAATCTGTGTATTGGTAACAGTGAATCATATGTACAATCTGTGTATTGGTTACAGTGAGTCGAGTGTAAAATCTGTGTATTGGTAACAGTGAATCGAGTGTACAATCTGTGTATTGGTTACAGTGAATCGAGTGTACAATCTGTGTATTGGTAACAGTGAATCGAGTGTACAATCTGTGTATTGGTAACAGTGAATCGAGTGTACAATCTGTGTATTGGTAACAGTGAATTGTATGTAAATCTGTGTATTGGTAACAGTGAATCGAGTGTACAATCTGGGTATTGGTAACAGTGAATTGTATGTACAATCTGTGTATTGGTAACAGTGAATCGAGTGTACAATCTGTGTATTGGTAACAGTGAATCGAGTGTACAATCTGTGTATTGGTAACAGTGAATCGAGTGTACAATCTGGGTATTGGTAACAGTGAATTGTATGTACAATCTGTGTATTGGTAACAGTGAATCGAGTGTACAATCTGTGTATTGGTAACAGTGAATCGTATGTACAATCTGTGTATTGGTTACAGTGAATCGAGTGTACAATCTGTGTATTGGTAACAGTGAATCGAGTGTACAATCTGTGTATTGGTAACAGTGAATCGAGTGTACAATCTGTGTATTGGTAACAGTGAATCGAGTGTACAATCTGTGTATTGGTAACAGTGAATCGAGTGTAAAATCTGTGTATTGGTTACAGTGAATTGTATGTACAATCTGTGTATTGGTAACAGTGAATCGAGTGTACAATCTGTGTATTGGTAACAGTGAATCGAGTGTACAATCTGTGTATTGGTAACAGTGAATCGAGTGTACAATCTCTGTATTAGTAACAGTGAATTGAGTGTACAATCTGTGTATTGGTAACAGTGAATCGAGTGTACAATCTGTGTATTGGTAACAGTGAATCAAGTGTACAATCAGTGTTTTGGTAACAGTGAATCGAGTGTACAATCTGTGTATTGGTAACAGTGAATCGAGTGTACAATCTCTGTATTGGTAACAGTGAATTGAGTGTACAATCTCTGTATTGGTAACAGTGAATCGAGTGTACAATCTCTGTATTAGTAACAGTGAATTGAGTGTACAATCTGTGTATTGGTAACAGTGAATCGAGTGTACAATCTGTGTATTGGTAACAGTGAATCGAGTGTACAATCAGTGTTTTGGTAACAGTGAATCGAGTGTACAATCTGTGTATGTGTTAACAGTGAATAATCAGTGATTGTGTTCCAGATTAACAGTGAACCTGACTCAACCCACCGTTCTGTGTTTCGGGAACAAGCTGCCGACAGACAAGACCATGAGGAACCACGCCCTGGAGATAGACTCTCACCTGCAGGCCTACAAGGAGGTATGTAGGGGTTGCAGGGACGACTTGCTAATTGTTACCCTATGTGTGACTCCAGAAGCAGATTAATGTATGATGTGTTGGTATCTGCAATCCGTTGCTACTATTTGCTGTGCAGAGTTGCGCCCCTTGGGCACACCAGGAACCTATAATCGTTGGTTCAAATCCTGGTTGCCTTGATTATGTTTCTAGGTTTGTCAGCACCATATCTGTGCTTGTTGAGACCTCATGTTGCCCATGTTGTGACTGTCTGACCAATAGCAAGAGTTAAGTGACACAGTGGCAGTATTCCATATTCCAGACATACATGTGTAGGGATATTATTTATAGAGGACCTCCCCTGAGTGTCTTATGATATCAACAATATTGACATGTCAACTCTAACTTGGGCAAGTGTTTAGCTCACCTGAACTGAAAGTTATGGCTAATAATTTTGAAATGTTCATGTTAGTTTCTTGTATTGGAACATTTTTGTTTGCATATGCTTGTTAACCCTTTCATAATGACCTTAAAAATTTCATTGGCACGTGCTATTTATCATTTCCCAATCTCATTGTTTGTCATTTTATCAAATAGCTACCAATGTTAGCTATTTATCATTTCCCAATCTCATTGTTAGTCATTCCATTGGTCGGTCAAAGTTCGCGAAAGGTTGTTCTGATGTGACCCATAATGGGATGTCCTCAGATATTTGTTTAGCAATAGCGAGAACTAAGATCTGATTTTAATGATATTGTATCGTTTCCTTAATTTCAGTAAAAATGAATCGTATAACAACAAAATGCATCTTTGATTTGTATGTTCACTTCATTGGCGAAAATTCTTGCTTTGGGATTAAACTGGATGTCAGGATTAACAACATTGTGGACGAACAAATCTGTGTTAATGAGTAATGTACTTGGTGTGTGTGTGTGAGTGTAGGTGGGTGAGGGCGTGCGTGCACAAGTGCTTGTACTAGTGCAGACTATTGCAGGCTTTATAGGCTGGCCCACTGAGGTACCATGTCACAGTTTACATGGATACCCTTATTTGACACAGTATACTGACTCTGAGCAGACCAGTCCTCGTTTTATCCCCTTAATGCGGAGCATCAGACAGGGAAACATCTATTGGTATGACACGGCCGAGGATTGAACCACCAACCCTCTGCTTAGACACTCTATGCTGACCAGACCTGGCTAGTTCTGGCTAATGTTATCCCATAAATGCAAAGTTGTCCTTTCCTATTGCAGGCCTTCATAGATGAGGAACTGTTTGCTGTCTTGGCAGCAAAAGTTGGAGATATTTTAAAACTGGTACGTGACTTTTACATTGTGAAATCATCCAAATTTCCAGATGAATAAATCATGGATGCCTTGTAATGTTTTGTTTTTATTTGTAGATGGACGTTCACAACAGTTAGGTTTAGGAGGTTAGATTAACAGTGTCCAGTTTAGCAAGGTTCAGCTGTATTAAAAAAAATGAGTTAGGAAATAAAGTAAAAACATCCAGAACTTAGGATTAGGGGGAGGGGCTTGAGGTTTGCTTCTGTAGTATGTATAACCAGGGACCCCCTGAATCTTTAACTTTTAGCATTTTTCGAATACTGCATCCATATGCTGTGGGCCTGGGTGATCTGTGGGTCTGTATGGAGCAAGAATAGACTGCTCAGGATTTTTAGCAAAAAATTAATAGAAATGTTTTCTATACTTTCCTGCAATTACACATCAAGTACAGTGAGAATACTTTTAATTGTAATTTGGAATGTTTATAATGCTATATTTTTTCTCCCATTTGTTATGTTGCTATTATTGATTTAATATTAAATATTTATTCTATTGTGGACATTTATTGTTGCTGAGATTGCTCAGATTCTGCCTGCACCTTTGTGTCATGTCTTGTCCGACACCGCTCTAGCCCTGCTGCTCCTGTTGTTGTAGGACTGGGAGTCTCGGCATGAGGAGGACAGGCTGCTACTGGAGAGGCTCCTCATTCTCATCAGGAACATCCTGCATGTCCCCCCAAACCCCGATCTAGAACAGGTAGGTTAACAGAAACATCCTGCATGTGCCCCCAAACCCGGATCTAGAACAGGTAGGTTATCAGGAACATCCTGCATGTGCCCCTAAACCCAGATCTAGAACAGGTAGGTCATCCGAAACATCCTGCATGTGCCCCCAAACCCCGATCTAGAAGAGATAGGTCATCCGAAACATCCTGCATGTCCCCCAAACCCCGATCTAGAACAGGTAGGTTGATGGGAACATCCTGCATGTGCCCCCAAACCCCGATCTAGAACAGGTAGGTTGATGGGAACATCCTGCATGTGCCCCCAAACCCAGATCTAGAACAGATAGGTTAACATTTTTTTACAGGAACACCTTGCACTGTACAAAGAACAAATAGATGAACACCCTGCATTGATCCACTTGGAAGTGGTGATAAACCCATCTCACTCACCTCACCTCACCTCACCTCACCTCACCTCACCTCACCTCACCTCACCTCACCTCACCTCACCTCACCTCACCTCACCTCACCTCATCAATGAGTCGTGTATGATTACTTCTCTAATAGTTACAGTCATGTATGTCCAATATGTAATGCTTGCTCTGTCTCAGGATGGCAAGGTAGTCGACTGGTAAAAGTGTTTGATCATCTCACTAAAGACTTAAAGTTTGATTTTCAAATGTGTGAAGACACTGACTCACTCTACTTCATCTTGTTCACAATATCTTTAACTTTCTGAATTTATTTGTAGAGAACTGATGACGATGCTAGTCTCCATGACCAAGTTCTGTGGTAAGTTATACAAGTATTTAGTCTTTTCTCAGATTGGATTTGAATTTATGTCAAATCCGTTTGATGTATAGCCCGATTTGCATTGCTCTGTTTGATATTACTTCCTGAAAGTGTGATACGAAATAGGTAGTATCAGGGTTCAGGGTGGTATGTGTGATGTTTCAGGGTGATGTAGGACTGTGATGTTTCAGGGTGACGTAGGACTGTGTGATGTTTCAGATTGAAGTAGGACTGTGATGTTCCAGGGTGACGTAGGACTGTGATGTTTCAGGGGGATGTAGGACTGTGTGATGTTTCAGGGGGATGTAGGACTGTGTGATGTTTCAAGGGGATGTAGGACTGTGTGATGTTTCAGGGGGATGTAGGACTGTGTGATGTTTCAGGGGGATGTAGAACTGTGTGATGTTTCAGGGGGATGTAGGACTGTGTGATGTTTCAAGGGGTTTAGGACTGTGTGATGTTTCAGGGGGATGTAGGACTGTGTGATGTTTTAGGGGGATGTAGGACTGTGTGATGTTTCAGGGGGATGTAGGACTGTGTGATGTTTCAGGGGGATGTAGGACTGTGTGATGTTTCAGGGGGATGTAGGACTGTGATGTTCCAGGGTGACGTAGGACTGTGATGTTTCAGGGGGATGTAGAACTGTGTGATGTTTCAGGGGGATGTAGGACTGTGTGATGTTTCAAGGGGATGTAGGACTGTGTGATGTTTCAGGGGGATGTAGGACTGTGTGATGTTTCAGGGGGATGTAGGACTGTGTGATGTTTCAGGGGGATGTAGGACTGTGTGATGTTTCAGGGGGATGTAGGACTGTGTGATGTTTCAGGGGGATGTAGGACTGTGTGATGTTTCAAGGGGATGTAGGACTGTGTGATGTTTCAGGGGGATGTAGGACTGTGTGATGTTTCAAGGGGATGTAGGACTGTGATGTTTCAGGGGGATGTAGGACTGTGATGTTTTAGGGGGATGTAGGACTCTGTGATGTTTCAAGGGGATGTAGGACTGTGTGATGTTTCAAGGGGATGTAGGACTCTGTGATGTTTCAAGGGGATGTAGGACTGTGTGATGTTTCAAGGGGATGTAGAACTGTGTGATGTTTCAAGGGGATGTAGGACTCTGTGATGTTTCAAGGGGATGTAGGACTCTGTGATGTTTCAAGGGGATGTAGGACTCTGTGATGTTTCAAGGGGATGTAGGACTCTGTGATGTTTCAGGGGGATGTAGAACTGTGTGATTTTTCAGGGGGATGTAGGACTGTGTGATGTTTCAAGGGGATGTAGAACTGTGTGATGTTTCAGGGGGATGTAGGACTGTGAGGTTTCAGGGGGATGTAGGACTGTGTGAGGTTTCAGGGGGATGTAGAACTGTGTGATGTTTCAGGGGGATGTAGGACTGTGTGATGTTTCAGGGGGATGTAGGACTGTGTGATGTTTCAAGGGGATGTAGGACTGTGTGATGTTTCAGGGGGATGTAGGACTGTGTGATGTTTCAGGGGGATGTAGGACTGTGTGATGTTTCAGGGGGATGTAGGACTGTGTGATGTTTCAGGGGGATGTAGGACTGTGTGATGTTTCAGGGGGATGTAGGACTGTGTGATGTTTCAAGGGGATGTAGGACTGTGATGTTTCAGGGGGATGTAGGACTGTGATGTTTTAGGGGGATGTAGGACTGTGATGTTTCAGGGGGATGTAGGACTGTGTGATGTTTCAAGGGGATGTAGAACTGTGTGATGTTTCAGGGGGATGTAGGACTGTGAGGTTTCAGGGGGATGTAGGACTGTGTGATGTTTCAGGGGGATGTAGGACTGTGTGATGTTTCAAGGGGATGTAGAACTGTGTGATGTTTCAGGGGGATGTAGGACTGTGAGGTTTCAGGGGGATGTAGGACTGTGTGAGGTTTCAGGGGGATGTAGAACTGTGTGATGTTTCAGGGGGATGTAGGACTGTGTGATGTTTCAGGGGGATGTAGGACTGTGTGATGTTTCAGGGGGATGTAGAACTGTGTGATGTTTCAGGGGGATGTAGGACTGTGTGATGTTTCAGGGGGATGTAGGACTGTGTGATGTTTCAGGGGGATGTAGGACTGTGTGATGTTTCAGGGGGATGTAGGACAGTAGTATAGGGAATGGGGGTTCTACCTCACTGCCACCCAGACCAGATTCATACTCCAACAATGCTACTACAGAGGTCATTTTGTATGCAAATTATGCGATGCGATCCAATGATCGTCATGGATTGTATTAAAGAAGGATTAATATTAATTAATGATGTATAAAATTTACTATAGCCTGCAAGGATATTGGAAAGGTATCGTCATGCTTCACTGGATGTTTCAGGGGGATGTAGGACTTTTTATGTGTTTCAGGGTTATCCATGTGAGTGGTTTAGAAGACATGATCCTCTACATTGCCAGCTCGGAGAATGAGAGACAACTGTGTATGCATTTGTTGGAGATTGTCTCCCTTATGTTCAGAGAACAGGTATGTACTTTACAAAGTTACTGTATATAAAATGACTGTTGGCAACAATATTTCAATGCTTTGCAGGAGAAAAGCATACATTCTGATGTCATCATTTTAATTTACCGTATTTCGACGTAATAAGCGCCCACGGCGATATTTCCTAATATATTGGCTAGTAAACAATCCCAATCAGCAACCCTTCCGATTGATCAATGTACACAAGACTTTTTTATTTGTGTATAATACGCACTCGTGTGTTATATCACCCTCATAATGGGCAATTAAATTCTTGAAAAATATATCTGTCGTATGTAAACACTTCAGGCTGTTAGCATAAACCACGAAATTTACGATCTTTCAACTCAAAATAATATTCTTATAAGTGCCCCCTATTTCTAATTGTGAGAGCGCCTGGGCGCTTATTACGTTGGATACGGTATTTATGAACTTTGCCCATTCGTTCAAAACTGTGGCTCAAACATATACATTCAAAGTTTATATGGATTTTCCTTCAAGTTAGATGCCCATTGCTCTTCAGAATATTTGCAACTGACCAAGACAGTCAGTAGGACTTCATCTGAAACCATCTGTCAAAGTTTTACTCTCATGTACTCTCTCTTGTCCTTTATTGTTACTTGAAACTTCTGATCATGCTGACTGAGCAATGTTAAATAGTTTTCAAAGCCATTGAAAAGTTACATGCTGTACTGTTTCCTAAAACAATAAATATTCCCCTGTGATGTGCGTGTTTCCAGACCCCCGACACCCTGGCCTGTGCTGGCATGCAGAGATCAATGAGTGAGAAGGAGAAGGACGAGAGGTAGGGAGTTTGTAACCAACAAGTAACATGGCTTGATTCAACTATATAAGATAGCTACGCGATAAATCTCAAAGAACAATGAAGAACGAAGCATGGTTTATTTCACGATAAGACATTGTTCTTTCATGATGACATTTCTAGAGGTTCGAACATGCGCTCGCAACTTGATGATGTCGTTACTTGGAAGATGTTATTTTTGAGAGGGAAGTGTCTATAGTGAGTTGTTGCCCGTAGATATACATGTAGCTGGATAGCACTGATGAACGCAATGGCCGAATGTTCGCATCCAAAAGTGTGAGAGATCTGACAATCGGTATGGGGGGAACAGGTACAGATAATTGACGTGAAAATTGTGAGAATATGCAGGAAAGACCAAATTTACCCCACTGTTCATAAATTGGACTTGTCTGACATTGCTGTGGTCTGGTTCTATTCAGGGAGTCATCATTACTTAAATTAGGGAAAATATTATTTAAGCCTGTACTCTCTACTAATATCCTAAGAGAGGCTGTACTTTATCGTACAATAAAAACTGTGAGGATCATAAACCACTGCGCCACTCATGGTTTATTCTCCTTGCAGTGTTTTATTGTACAATAAACAACACCCACTTGTTTATTTCTTAAATGAGGGGCTATAGGTTGCCCAGTCTTCTTTGGCGCTGCAATTTGCTGTGCAGAGCTAAGTTCCTTAGCTTTCCAGAAACCTATCATCATGGGTTCAAATGCCTTTTTCCTGCTTTGTCAGCACTATACCTGTGCTCGGGGGTTTCACCAAAGTAGTATACGAGTGAGACGTGACTTAGTGGATCTGTTGGTGAGGCTCGGAGACTTGGATGATTGCATGTCAGCTCCTGACGGCATGGAAAGTTTCTCATTATAGCAATCACTGGATTGTCTGGTCAAGACTTGATTACTTAAGGGCCACCGTCATGTAGCTGGAATATTGTGTGATGTTAAACAACAAACAAGCACATAATGTCTGTTGTAGGGAGCTGGAGATGATAAGGGAGAAGGAACGAGCCCAGAAGAAAGCCAACATGTTGAAGCACAGCACCAGGTACGTACAGCATCTCACACATCAAACAACGTGTTGGAGATTGTGTACAGTGCTCCAGATTTTCAGAGCTGTCATTGACCCCTGAAGACAAACCCTCTATTTGAAAGCAGTGATGTTCCCCATTACTTTTGTTATCCCCCTGCATATAATGTGGGAGGGTATGGTTGACGCCTAAACTGTCTATCTGTCCATAATCATTTCTTTTCTGGAGCACAACTAAAAAAATGTTTAATATTTTTCAACAAAACTCTTTGCTATTTGCGGATTTTTTGCATTTTCTCCATTTCCATTGAAACAATTTGGACTTAGTCTCAAAGGATTTCATTTTCGGAGCACAACTTGAAAACTGTGAAAGACGTTCATTCAAATCTTGTACATGTATTAACCAAGGGCTGAAGTGGTGCCTTTTGCTATTTAAGGATTTTTTAATTCATAGTTTTTCTGTTTCCATGGCAACAAGTTAGACTTCATATTGGTGTGTACCTGACATAGAAATACAAATTTTCAAATCCCAATTCCATGGTATGTTTTAATATCTCAATAACCACTATTGTATACGGACAGACAGATAAGTTTGAAATTCTCTCATCAAGTTGGACTTAAGATAACAGTTAAATGATTGGTTCTTTCGAGTTTGTGGGTGCTGGGGGGACTTATCATTTTCTGATAACTCTTGTTTCATTTTCACGACGGATCACTTCTCCCAAAAGTAAACATATCAAACTGTTTCATTAGTAGTATGTTGCTAATTTGATTTCAATTTCAAAATGTTGAAAAAGCGTAATGTCAAAATGTTTCATAAATAGTTTGTAACTGATTTGATTTCAATTTTATCATGTTAAGTCGGCATGGTAAGAATAACATGAACAAGTATGTACCTGAATGTTATTTATCATCCAAAACTGGCTTTCACAGGGGATATTGCTTGGGTGAGATCAAGCGATATCTACACTGTAGATATCGCTGCAATGAAATTGCATCACAATGCTTTGCAGACCATTGTGCCGTAATTGGTTACCATTACGTCACAATCAAATGACATCACTAATGGCTCTGCTACTGAAGCTGTTAGCAGTACTTTTTACACTTAAGACACTGCTTATTACTGTTAACAAACTGAAAAAGTTGGAAGAATGATGTTGGATGATAAATAAAATCTCACCTTCTTGTCTTTTGATATGAAACATATCAACGTTGGTGATAGGCAGGCCTCAGAGTTCTCCCACTTTTGTACTGAAAGACTGGAAATATAATACATCACTCCTGTTGCAGACACTCCCGGTTCGGAGGAACGTACGTTGTGGCCAACATGAAGTCCATCAGTGACCGGGAACTCATCTATCACAAAGCACAGGCCGATGTAAAAAACTTCTCCTTGGATTCAAATAAGCGACCCAAGAAGAAGCCTAAGAATCGTCAGCCCATCAAGGATGTAGAAGTTAAACGGCGGTCCACACTCAGCATCCGCTTAAGCCTGAAGGAGTTTTGTATTCAGTTCCTGGAGAACGCTTACAACCCTCTCATGTACGCCGTAAAGGTATGTCACAACGCTTACAACCCTCTCATGTACGCTGTCAAGGTATGTCACACTGCTTACAACCCTCTCATGTACGCCGTCAAGGTATGTCACACTGCTTACAACCCTCTCATGTATGCCGTCAAGGTATGTCACAACGCTTACAACCCTCATGTACGCCGTCAAGGTATGTCACACTGCTTACAACCCTCTCATGTACCCCGTCAAGGTATGTCACCACGCTTACAACCCTCTCATGTATGCCGTCAAGGTGTGTCACAACACTTACAACCCTCTCATGTACGCCGTGAAGGTATGTCACCATGCTTACAACCCTCTCATGTACGCCGTAAAGGTATGTCACCATGCTTACAACCCTCTCATGTACGCCGTCAAGGTATGTCACCATGCTTACAACCCTCTCATGTACGCTGTCAAGGTATGTCACCATGCTTACAACCCTCTCATGTACGCCGTGAAGGTATGTCACAACACTTACAACCCTCTCATGTAAGCCGTCAAGGTATGTCACCATGCTTACAACCCTCTCATGTACGCCGTCAAGGTATGTCACAACGCTTACAACCCTCTCATGTACCCCGTCAAGGTATGTCACCATGCTTACAACCCTCTCATGTACCCCGTCAAGGTATGTCACCATGCTTACAACCCTCTCATGTACCCCGTCAAGGTATGTCACCATGCTTACAACCCTCTCATGTACCCCGTCAAGGTATGTCACCACGCTTACAACCCTCTCATGTACGCCGTCAAGGTATGTCACAACGCTTACAACCCTCTCATGTACACCGTCAAGGTATGTCACAACCCTCTCATGTACGCCGTCAAGGTATGTCACACCGCTTACAACCCTCTTATGTACGCCATCAAGGTATGTCACCATGCTTACAACCCTCTCATGTATTGCCATGGCAGCCATTTTGAAATATCATTTACTCGTATATCAATGTGTATGTTAATGTACATGATGTTCAAACTGAGATTCTATCTCTTACCATGGTTACTTTTTATGCATAATTTTGTCTTCCCTTGTCCATGGTGTAAGACCTTTCTAATCCTATATCATATTTGGGGGCACGGATGGCCCAGTCGTCTAAGGCGCCGCGATTCGCTGTGCAGAGTTGCGTCACTTGGGCACGCCAGAAACCTATGATTGTGGATTCGAATCCCGGTTCGCCCCGATTATGTTTCTAGGTTTGTCAGCACCATACCCGTGCTTGTGGCTTTCCTCCCACATTAAGCTGACACGCCGCCATATAACTGCAATACTGTTAAAAGTGTCGTTAAACCCAACTCACTCACTCACTCACTATATCGTATTTAAGAAGAACTGGACTTGAGCTTCCATGACTTGTGGCACTACTTTAATCTCATAAACTCGTTTTTCCCATCCAAGGACAACTTGGTCCGCGAGCGTACCCAGGAGCATGACGAGACGTACTACCTGTGGGCCATGAGGTTCTTCATGGAGTTCTGTCGCCACCACAGTAAGAGGATCGAGCTGGTCAGGTACTTGTCTCATGGCCACGTTACTTGTTTGCATGCTCCTTACATGTCCTGTTTTATAGAAAAATCGATCATCGCATATCAGATTTACCTCCCAGCTTGTGGTAAAATGACTTGTCAAATTCTGAAAAACATTTTTTGTTGTCTTAATCTGTTTGTTACTGGATGATTCTGTGATTCTGGGATAGAATAGGTCCCCAGCAACCTATACTGGTCGTAAGAGGAAACCCTTTGTGATTCTGGGATAGACTAGGTCCCCAGCAACCTATACTGGTCGTAAGAGGAAACCCTTTGTGATTCTGGGATAGACTAGGTCCCCAGCAACCTATACTGGTCGTAAGAGGAAACCCTTTGTGATTCTGGGATAGACTAGGTCCCCAGCAACCTATACTGGTCGTAAGAGGAAACCCTTTGTGATTCTGGGATAGACTAGGTCCCCAGCAACCTATACTGGTCGTAAGAGGAAACCCTTTGTGATTCTGGGATAGACTAGGTCCCCAGCAACCTATACTGGTCGTAAGAGGAAACCCTTTGTGATTCTGGGATAGACTAGGTCCCCAGCAACCTATACTGGTCGTAAGAGGAAACCCTTTGTGATTCTGGGATAGACTAGGTCCCCAGCAACCTATACTGGTCGTAAGAGGAAACCCTTTGTGATTCTGGGATAGAATAGGTCCCCAGCAACCTATACTGGTCGTAAGAGGGAACCCTTTGTGATTCCGCTTGTCATGCCGTAGACCTGGGTTCGATTCTCCCCATGGGAACAATGTGTAAAGCCCATTTCTGGTGTCCCCTGCCGTGATATTGCTGGAATATTGCTAAAAGTGGCGTAAAACCATACTCACTCACTCACTTTTGCTAGATGATGCAGCAAATTCTTCTTAATCCTTGATATTCCTGACAGAGACACTAGATAAAGCAACATTCTTCCACTCATTCTAATGTCTTCATGCTCCAGTGAGACGTTGTCAGTGCCAACGTTCCACTACATCTACACCAACCTGATCACCTACTATGAGATGATAATGACAGAGAAGACTGAGGCTGTCACATGGAGCAAGAGGTACGTGGCCATCTCGCTAGCTTCATCTCAAAATCATGAAAACGGGCATGTCACCTTACTTGAGTCACGATACCAGGGATTCACCAGGGTTATTTATTTGAGGTGTCCTGGGGACTCAATGCCTTTAATTGTAGGGATCAAAGAGAAATGTTAGAAACTAAATACAACTAAATACAAGACTCTACCTCAAGTGACACATTCATAGAGACTTGGGCAAGAAGACCATACACCATTGGACTCTGTATGGTACTTGTAAATTGATTACGTATGGAAATTAATTTAGCCATGCAAGTAAATTCACATGCATACCCAGTGATGCATGATTTCACATCCCTGTGATACTTAGGGACATAAAGGATCGACCATTTAATGTGTGTGTGGGGTGGGGACCCATTTTCATGATTACTGAGGTCTCCGAGACACTTCATTGAGGTTATCTCCAAGACACTTGTCTGAGGTTATCTCCCAGACAGTTGACTGAAGTTATCTCCCAGACAGTTTACTGAGGTTATCTCCCAGACAGTTTATTGAGGTTATCTCCCAGACAGTTTACTGAGGTTGTCTCCCAGACACTTAACAGACGTTATCTCCCAGACACTTTACTGACCTTATATCCCAGGCACTTTACTGATGTTATCCCCCAGACACTTAACAGACGTTATCTCCCAGACACTTTACTGACCTTATATCCCAGGCACTTTACTGAGGTTTCTCACAGACTCTTTACTGAGGTTATCGCCCAGGCACTTTGCTGAGATTATCTCCCAGGCACTTAACAGACGTTATCTCCCAGGCACTTTACTAAGGTTATCTCTTATCTCCCAGGCATTTTACTGAGGTTATCTCCCAGGCACTTTACTGAGGTTATCTCCCAGGCACTTTACTGAGGTTATCTCCCAGGCACTTTACAGACGTTATCTCCCAGGCACTTTACTGCGGTTATCTCCCAGGCACTTTACTGAGGTTATATCCCAGGCACTTTACAGACGTTATCTCCCAGGCACTTTAATGCGGTTATCTCCCAGGCACTTTACTGAGGTTATATCCCAGGCACTTTACAGACGTTATCTCCCAGGCACTTTACTGAGGTTATCTCCCAGGCACTTTACTGAGGTTATCTCCCAGGCACTTTACTGAGGTTATCTCCCAGGCACTTTACAGACGTTATCTCCCAGGCACTTTACTGCGGTTATCTCCCAGGCACTTTACTGAGGTTATATCCCAGGCACTTTACAGACGTTATCTCCCAGGCACTTTACTGAGGTTATCTCCCAGACACTTTACTGAGGTTATCTCCCAGGCACTTTACTGCGGTTATCTCCCAGGCACTTTACTGAGGTTATATCCCAGGCACTTTACAGACGTTATCTCCCAGGCACTTTACTGAGGTTATCTCCCAGACACTTTACTGATGTTATCTCCCAGACACTTTACTGATGTTATTTCCCAGACACTTGACTATCATTATTTCCCACACACTTGACTATCATTATTTCCCACACACTTGACTATCATTATTTCCCAGACACTTGACTATCATTATTTCCCACACACTTGACTATCATTTTCTCCCATACTGACACTGTTTGTACAACCTGGGAGTAGGGTGACCAAGGGTCATGCATGCAGCAAGCATGTTTAACACACATTATGTCATTGTTGTGAGACATTAAATCGTTCTGTTCTTACCCCCACTACAGGGCCATGTTAACGGTCACAAAATTACATGATAACAAGGACGTTTTGTTTTTGGGGACATGAAATATTACAAAACTGGTATTTGTAGTTTGGTCAATGATTGCGTGATTGTGTGTTTAATGGACAATAATTGTGAAAAACCAGGTGCCAATGCATGTCATTGTATCCCAATTACCTAGATCGATGCTCCTGATGTCAATCACTGGATTGTCTGGTCAGACTCGATTATTTACGGACTGCCATCATATAGCTGGAAAATTGGTGGGTGCGGCATTAAACAACTTGACTTGACTGAGGTTTTGGCCCAGATACCTTTCAGTGGTTATCACACAAACACTTTATGGTTAACAACGGTTCACAAACGGTTAACTGTTATCCAATTCTATCTTCAAGGATTACTTTTAGGTGATTATATTTCTTTGTATTGTTCAGAGTCCACCTGGCGCTTAAAGCTTACCAAGAGTTGTTGCTGACAGTGGACATGATGGATAGATCCAAGAACCCACGGCTCATCGAGTCCGCTAAAGTCATCAGGTGTAAGTCCGATACGGTCGTGTCTTTGTAGGGAGACAGGGGTGGCCCAAGGCGTCTAAGGCACCAAAATTCGCTTTGGGCTCTCCTCCTGACACACTGTTATAAAACTGAAATATTGTTCAAAGCATTGGTAAACTCAACTAACTCACTTTAATGAGTCATTAGTGCAGGCAGTGAACCATGCTTGTGAGAATATGATAGCTGCAGTTTGTTTCCTGGGTCTCATTCTACAAAGCAATCTTAGCGCAAAGGTTAATGTAACTCCCATACATTTTTAACATAGACTTATGACAGTGGTAGCAGTAAGACTAAATTAAATTTAAGTACATTAAATTAAGAATTTTTATAGCGCATTATCCAATTAACAACTGCTTAAATGTGCTGGCCTCATTTCCCAGAGTGATCTTAGCGCAAAGGTGATCGTAACTCCCATACTTTAACATAGAATTACAACAGTCATAGCAGTAAGATTAAATTAAATTAATTTTAATTTTATTAAATTATGAATTTGTAGAGCACATTTTCCAATTAACAACTGCTCAAATGCCCTTAGACCATGATTGATCAAGTCAACATCTTTTGAAGTTTGTCAGATTTTCTGTTTCACCGGATTTCTTGTGGCAGATTGTTCCATAGCAATTGGCCAGCATGTTGAAATGACCTATTGCCACCTTTCGGTACTTGACTTTGGCACCACTAGCAGTTGATCTTTTGATCAGAGAGAACATGCAGGCTTGTATGTTGTAGTTCAGTCATTATTGGAGCGATGTCTTCTTGCTTAGGTGTTCTTGTCAGAATTCTTTCAGCTCTTTCTGAACCTCACTGTAGTTTTTCTGCATCCTTCTTTGGTGTGATATCGAGGCGGGAATTACAATAATCCAACCTGGAGACGACAAAAGATCACTCTGTGGCCCAGGGCCAGGAGCATTGTTTCACACAATGCCTTGATGCATACAGTCTCTCACTGTGCTGGCCTGTGAAGACCCGGGATAGAATAGGACTTCAGCAACCCTTGCTTGCCGTAAAAGGCTCATGATATGAATCACTGGATTGTCTCGATTATTCACAGACCGCTGTCATATAGCTGGAATATTGCTGAGTGCAGCGTTAAACAAACAAACCAAATCTCACTGTGCTGGTAACTCTCTTTGCAGGCAATGTCTTCTACATGATGGAGTTTCGGGATATATTTACAACTCTCCTGAAGAAGTTTGACCAGTCTAAACAGTCAAGGTACCAGGACAAATTTTGTGTATTTAAGTGGTTGGTTAATTATGTTTGCAGTGCCATAGAAGAAACTTATTCAACAGCACTTTAGATGTCAAAAAAGGGATTTTAATATAGAGCACATGTTCTGCCATTATTGCAGTATTGTATAATTCTAAATTTTGAATTCAGAAGCATTTGAAACACCAGTGGATGAAATGAAACATTTGTAGTTCATAAAAGGAACAAAACAAGATTCTGGTATGACATAATGTTTACACATTCAATAAATACGCATGTATCACATTAAACACAAGATAAAACTCACTATTTGAAATCACCTGATATATACCGAGCATTAAAAATGATATTGCGATACTTATAGTGGAAAGAGTGAACCTCAATTTACCGATATACTGGTGAAACCATGCACCCTTAGTTTTAAAGCAGTAAGATCCATGCGTCCATGTGTATGCGAACCAGAGTGTCTGTTCTACTGTATTTTTGTCTCGTATGCCATCGACCCATGTACACAGTTGATACAACAATGTCATATATATATATATATATGGCAATTAGGCATGACATAATATACTAACTATCAAGTGCATATTTACATTTCAGAGCTTCTTTAACGAACTTAGCACATTTGTTACGGATTGACACATTATTAGAAGTCAGTAATTTATGAAATTTACAATTTTTTTATGAAATATGCCACTTTGGTATGTACTTATTTCTCAACAATACCTATGCCTCGCAATCAAATATGAAATGGAGTTCATCTTCAGTGCTATTAGTATCACACTGTTACTTCTGTTATACTGTTACTTCTGAAGCTGATTACCTCCCAACTATGCAAGTGATGACGCTGCATGCTTGATGTTCCCAGAACGTACCTGCGGGACCTAGTGGAGACGAGCCACCTGTTTGTGAAGATGCTGGAGTACCACTGCAAGAACAACTCCCATTTGGTGGTCCAGAAGAAGAAGACCAAGAAGAAGAAGCCCAAGGTCAAGGCCAATGGTATGTCAAGTCATACATCTGTCCAGCACAATGAACAAAGTTCAGTGACTTGCATCACCCAGCACCAGTACATCCTACCCAGGGGTAGAAACTAACATTTGTAGTCCACTAGTCCTTATAATGATAACGTATAGTAAGACCCTTAAAAATGGCAAATTTCTACTAGTCCTTATGATACCTTAACTATTGGTAACTTAACAGTTTGGCAAGGATTACAGGACTAGTGCGAATTTTTAACGCTGCCTACCAGTATTCCTCAGTGTTTGAAATGAAGGCATCCCGGTGTCTTCTATGATACTTGAATCTAGGAACAAGTTAAGTTTAAACTTAAAGAACAGGTTTATGTCAAGGAGCCCTTTAATTTCAAAATCAGTGGAATGTGAAGTTTACAGCTTCTCCTCCATTTCCGCTTTTAATATTCCTTAGATTAAATGCTTTTTGTTATGAAGCATCCTTGATCTTGATCTTTGGTTTTGCATGACTGATGAGCAAGCTTTAACATTAGAGATTGTGAGAAGGCTCTATTGGTTTATTCTTGCATATGTCCCCAAATGACTACCATATTTGACATAATAAACACCCAGGGTGCTCTCAAAATTAGAAGTAGGGGACGCTTATTTGAGCAGGGCGTTTATTACGTCGAATACAGAACTTCTCTATTACCGCGAAAATGTTACAGCAGTAACAGCAGTAAGCATGATAAGGAATAGCATTATCCAATTCCCACCAGATATTAGCAAATCTAAATGACATTGCCACATTAAGCTGACCCGCTGTTACATTATTGAAATACTATTCAAAGCGGTGTTAAATCCACCTCACTCACTCACTCTGATCTAGTCAGTGTAGGGTTCCCTATTAATGTACAGGGCAGTGGTGTAGCCTAGTGGTTAAAGCGCCTGCTCGTCATGTCAAAGACCCGGGTTTGATTCCCCCGCCTGGATGCAATGTGTGAAGCCCATTTCTGGTGTCCCCTGCTTTGATATTGTTGGAATATTGCTTAAAAGCGGCATAAAACCGTACTCACTATTAATGTACAATGCTATTTCCCAGTTGCACCTGAACCCTTGGAGCCAACACCTCAGGAGCTCGAGGACCTCTGGGACGAGATCTCCAGTCAGCTCTCCTCCATATTCCAGGGTCGTGATGAGGTGCCTGATGTGGCGCCATTTGATGCTGCATCTGAAGTAGAGGTTGATCAGCAGAGGTAGGTCTATATACGGAGGGACACTCTCATCTGGTGCCTGCAGTGCCATGTGTAAATATATGTTATACCTGTAGCCTATTTACTCTGACCATTAATACTGTTGGTGGGGACCCACAATTCGCTGTGCAGAGTTGCATCCCTTAGACATGACAGGAATCTATGAACATCGATTTGAATCCCTGTTGTCCATATATATGTCTTCTTTCTTTTTTTTCCCCCACATCCCCTACCAACAGCTGGAGGGGAGACATATTGTTTTTGGCTCGGTTCCCAGTGGTCTGAAACTATACATGTGCAATGACCACATGCTCAACTATTGCTTATTTTTAATTTAAAAAATTATTTGTTTTAGTCTGTTTTCAGTCGTACAAATGGGTATCTCTCATACCCTCACGTCTAGTCGCATGTTTAGAGGAAGCCAGAAGCTGGAATGTAAACATTAAACTTGTTTCCGTCCGGTTGCGCACGCACCTCCTTATGACATGTCACAAATCTCTCAGCGCGCCTCTGCGCTGGTCGCTCGAGAAAGTCTTTCGCGGTAGACTGCTAGTTTGTATTCTACTAGTACTTATCGCTTATCTACAGTTGTTCTAATAAAGTCATAATATGTCTTACCTGTAGACTCCTGGAATGTAATCCTTGGTAATCCATTGTTTGTGTTCAACGCGTGTTTCGCTGTTTGACAGTGATTCTACACGTGGCAATATGTCGGGCATTTGTGCCTCGTGTCAACGAAAACTGTCTAAAGTAGACCCTCACAAGTATTGTCCTTCCTGCATCATTAAGGACGGGTTTTCAACGTATTCGTGGAATAAACGTTGTAAAAAATGTGAGAACTTGTCTTCAATAAACTTTAACTTGTATCTTCGTGCGTTGGCGAAGCGGGCCGCTGACCAGCGCTACAAGCGGAGATGGTCATCGGTTGGATCCTTGGACTCTGCACCCTCCGCATCAGGCCCTGGGGGTGGAGAGTCGACCACACCTCAGAAATCAGTTGAAAAAGACCCGCCTCAGTCAACTTCAGTTTTCGACAAGACACGTGACCGTTCGCCTGCTGATGATACTACCCGCACGACTGGTCTTCGTCATTCGGTTGATCGAGAGCGTCACTCAGCCTCCCCCGTTACGACGGGACCGGGTGGTGACGAGGACCATGAGGGGACTACGGTCCCCAGTCGGTCCGCATCTCGTTCTACCAACGACGATAGGGACGTCGTGCGGGACGACAGTGGACACAGAAGTCGTTCCCGTTCAAGTCGGGACGACAGGATGAGTGCCTCGTCGAGAGACAGTACACGACACGAGGGCGTTCATCGTCATCGTGGTCGTCGAATGTACGATTCGGACGATAACTACGATGCGGATCGTAGTACTTCTACAGTTAGAGATCGTAGCCCTCGTCCACACGGGGACGTGCGACGTTATCGCAGGGAGAGTTTGGGGGTTCAGCGTCGTAGTGAAGATAGTGACAGAACGATGACCTCATCTCACTTTCATATCGACCCGGCTTTGATAGCCCAGATCACGGCGGCGGTCCTCGCCTCGACGGCGTCGACCAAGAAGGATACGACTACGTCAGGGGTCCATGGCCCGTCAACTAGTACAGCAGCTCCTTCATCTACGCCTCCACACTCGACGTCGACGATGGATTGTGACGACAGCCAGCAAAGAACGGTGACAACCGGACGCGTGCGGGCTTTAAGGTCGGAGATACACCGCAGTCTCTTCAGTTTTCTCCTCCCGATGTCTTCAGAGCCATGGCTCACGATATTGACCAGAACTTTGGTTCTGCTCTGCCTGGGCAGAGCTTCTGCAAGCCGCCTGGTCGATCTCGTTACCCGATCTATGGCATGCCGTTTTCGTCACCCATGACTAGGGATTTGGACTGGGGGCTACTCTTCAAGAGACCAGCACCCTCCACATTTGGAATCCATGGGCACTGCTGTTCGTCACCAGCTGCAAACGCTTGCTATGCTGTCGACAGCGATCAAGGCCCTCTCAGTGTACTTTGAGGTGAAAGAACCCCAGGACGAGGACGACAGGACGGTGCCATCGGTCCTCACCTGTATGCAACGGTGGATCTAGGACGTCCTCGCCCAGTCCCGATATGTATCGGGCCAGATTACTACGGCGCGTCGCCATGGTTACATCGACTGCACTGACCTACCTGATCGTCATGGCAGGTCACTCTTACGGGCCCCGTGGACATCGCAACAGTTGTTCGACGGTCGTACCAACGACGTTCTGGACAAGTACTCCAGGGGAGCCGAGCGTGACATCATCATTTCGGCTTCACCCAACCTGTCCAGACGGCCACCGGTTTCGAACGCCCCACGACGACGTTACCGAAACGAGAATGTGCAACGGGCCTTCCGTAGGGACGTGCCTCGACAGCCGTCCCGCAAGGGAGGTTCCGACAGGAAAGGTCGCCAGGTCTCCTTTTCCAAGTTTCCCAGAGGGGGAAAGTACCAGCGGGGGAGGAAGTGAGGTCCATTCCCCCGCCGTCGCCATGGTTGGAGTCTCCCCCGGTGACACTACCTTTAGACGAGCTACCGGTAGGGGGGCGACTTCGTCACTATGCCCACAAGTGGGTTTTCCTCAACGCAACATACCTCCAACCACCCGACACATTCACCTTGATATCCCTCAGCTCTCTGCGTCGGATGATATTACCGAACGACTTCCTCGTCTCGTTAGACCTTCAGGACGCGTATCTACATGTACCAATAGCTTCCGAGTTCCAGAAGTACCTCCGATTCGAATGCCAAGGTATTTATTACCAGTGGGCGGCCCTCCCGATTGGAATTTCTACGGCCCCGTGCTTTTTCACACGGATCATGAAGACGGTCGTAGAATGGCTCCATCGGCAGGCGATCAGGGTCGCCTTCTACCTAGACGACGGGCTCCAAGCTCACCAGTTTACAGTAGCCCTTCAAGGTGAGTTGGCGACCACCCTGAGTCTACTACGGTACCTCGGGTGGATCGTCAACTTTCAAAAGTCGGACTTGGTACCACCTCGGGTTCTACAGTACATTAGGATACGCTTCCAGACGGGAGTCAATCTGGTCCAGGTACCTCAAGACCGTTGGGACAAGATTGTCAGCAGCGTTCCGTGACGTCTACATGCCTCGTCGTCGGTGCACACGTGGCAGGAAGTCCTCGGTCTGTTGACATCGGCCCAAGACTTGACCCATCGAGGTCGTCTTCAACTTCGTCCGCTGCAGAGATTGCTGTACCCCCACCTGGAGTTTCCCAATCTCCTGGTTCCACTTCCGGCGCAGCTACGTTGTCATCTGGAGTGGTGGCTCCAGCCGTCGAACGTTTGCGAGGGCGTCTTTATGAGCGAGCCTCCGTTCATACTACACCTATTCGTAGACGCGTCATTGGAAGGCTGGGGAGCGCACTTCGGGGACGACCAAGCGGCCGGGTGGTGGTCGCGAGTAGAAAAGGTCCTCCACATCAACTACCTCGAGATGGAAGCAGTGATTCGGGCGGTCGAGTTTTGGAAACTTCGACTCCGTCGGAAACGGCTGATGATACAGTCGTCCACTGCGTCAACAAACAGGGAACAACTCAGTCGGCGGCCCTTCTGGACCGGACATTCAGGTTCTTCGCCCTCGTCGACGACTTGGACATGGGCGTACGCGCCCGTCACATCCCGGGGGCCAAGAATGTGATTGCCGACGCCCTGTCGAGACCATCGAGCCCGTCTCCCACGGGGTGGATGATCCATCCGACAGTCTTTCATCTGCTGACAGATCGACTCTGGTTGCCCCAAGTAGATCTCTTTGCTGCCCCGTACAACAACCGCCTCCCTCGATTCGTGTCGCCGGTTCCAGACCCATGGGCATGGGACCACGACGCTCTAGCGATATCGTGGGGGGTCTAGACGCTTAGCTGTTACCATCGCAACTGGTGAAAGTTCGTAAAACGGCCAACCTACGTCTGCCTTTGGTCGCGCCTTATTGGCCGGCCAGAACATGGTTCCCGGAACTTCTTCAGATCATCGTTGAACCACTGTTCCCGTTGCCAGATCAAGACGACCTCCTTCTTCATCCTCACACCGACGACTTGCATCCGGGGATAAAGAACTTCCAGCTTCACGCCTGGGTTTGCTTAAGACCTCGTTAATGAAGAAAGGCTATTCGGCTAAAGCGGCAGCGCTTGTCTCGTCGGCACATCGAGTTACGACTCGTAAGCTGTAAGATGACAAGTGGACCCCTTTCTCCATTTTCGCCAGGTCTCATGGCTTCAACCCGGCGGTAGCGACCCCACCACAGGTAGCGGAGTTCCTAGTCTCTCTCCGGTCATCTCGGCGTCTGAAAGGGTCGACGATCTCGACATATCTGGCAGCTTTGGCTTCAGTAGTGCCGTCTCCTACGGGCGACAAGCTCACTAACGTACCGGAGTTGCAGAAGATTCTACGTGCCTTCATGGTTGAAGATCAATCACGTAAATTCCGACCGCCGGCCTGGGACCTCGATGTCGTTCTGCGCAACCTGTCTAGTCAGGCTTACGAGCCTCTCGATAAGGTCGCCTTCGACTTATTGTCTCAGAAAACGTTTTTTTCCTTCTCTCGCTGGCTACGGCTGCGAGAATTACGGAAATACATGCCATTGACGTCGGTCGGATTACGTTCGATCAGCGTAACCATGGCAACGTCCATCTTGGTCTCCGATGGGATTTTTTAGCGAAAAACATGCTGTTTTAGTTACCTTGTATACTGCGAGTTGCTCTGTAACTAAACTATTCGTCGACCACACTTCGATCACAGTTCAACTGACGCGTGCAGTTGGCCTGTCGCATCGATAATTAGTTGTGTGTCGAAGAGCATTACCATGCTGTGCGTTCGTGATAAACAACTTGTCTCGTCCGTGCATCTGGTCGAATGTTCTATTGTCACTACAGGGGTGAGGAACTTGATACATTCGACGTGAAAGTGGTCACTGCCTGATTACTTTCCCGACCCTCCTTTCAGTGTTCCGTCGAATTCTACCCATTTGTACGACTGAAAACAGACTAAAACATGGGTTTTTCAGATTAAAAACGATGTTTTATTGGTCTGTTTTCAGTCGTACGTTCCCACCCAGCCATCCCCACAGGGAAGTAATCCAGTCCAGTCCTGCTTGATGGCTTATTCTTCGAGATTTGTGACTTGTCATAGGGAGGTGCGTGCGCAACCGGACGGAAACAAGTTTAATGTTTACATTCCAGCTTCTGGCTTCCTCTAAACGTGCGACTAGACGTGAGGGTATGAGAGATACCCATTTGTACGACTGAAAACAGACCAATAAAACATTGTTTTTAATCTGAAAAACCCATTTTTGTGTTTCCATGGAAGCAATTTGGACTTTGTCTCAAATAAGTAGCCTTTGTTTCCCACCAATTCTCTACAGCTAATGAATATTTCTGCATGAAAACATTTTCTTTCCAGGCTATAATTTGCTATTGTCTTTCGGATTTCCAAACACATTTACAGTAACAACTTCAACCAATGTTTTTCAGTAAAAACCCGTTCTAGTTTATTTAGGTTTTCAACACCATACTCATGCTTATGGGTTTCACCAAAGTGGTAAACATTGTAGACCCTTTCCACTTTGGGCTTTCCTCCCACGGGAAGCTGATGCCAGGTTCTAACTGCAATACCATTCTAAGTGGTGTTAAACCCAACTCTCTGACTCACTCTCAGTAATGTCTTACTGACACTGGTGCCTGAATATGGATGTATGACATAAACAGCCTTAAGTTCGGCCCACATTGTTCTTGGTGTTGTCACTCACTCACTCACTCACTCACTCACTCACTCACTCACTCACTCACTCACTCACTCACTCACTCACTCACTCACTCACTCACTCACTCACTCACTCACTCCAGCCTTGATTACTATATCATCTGCTTGTCTGTTATACAGAGTGGATGCCATGTGTCGTATTCAGGACAGCATGAGGAATCGGTCCCCTGGTGAAGCCATCGCCATCTTCAGAGCAGCTCGGTAAGTTGGATCCCACTACTACAGACTAACCCTAGCTATCATGAGACCCGTGAAGATGCGGGAAGAGATTATATCTTCAGCAACCCATGCTTGCCATAAGAGGCAACTATGATTGTAAGAGGCAACTAACAATCGAGTGAGGGATCGAGTGGTCAGGCTTGCTGACTTCGTTGATGCATGTCATCGTATCCCATTGGTCTAGATCAGTGCTCATGATATCAATCACTGGATTGTCTGGTCCAGACTTGATTATTTACAGACTACCGTCATATAGCTGGAATGTTGCTTAGTGTGGCGTAAAACAACAAACAAACTAGCTATCATGACACCTGTGGGGACCATCGTCATATTCAGAGTCATTCAGTGGGTTGGATCTTATTGGTACAGACTCACGCCAGTTGTTGTGTTGTTGATGGCCCTGGGTTAGGATTGGTCTCCTATGCAGGTAGTAAGAGGCGACCAAATGGATTGGGTGGTCAGACTCAGTGACTTGGATGATAGCATGTAGGTTTGTAACGATTCACCGATAGCTACGATATCATAGATTCTTATGTACACACAATGTATGAATCGTCATTTTGTGAGATCACGATACACCATAAATAAATAGAATAAACTAATAGAGTGACCTCCCATAATAGCAGAAGTAGCATAGCGCCACCTGTAAACATGGCAGAGCACAAGGACGTCATAGCTGAGAACGTGCCAACTAGCTGTTACATTTAATAACCATTCCTTCATTTAAAACTGTTTGTTCTTGTGTTTTTCTTTGTTAAAGGTTTTGAGATAACAATAAATAAAGCTATGAAGGAGGAGGTTTTAGAGCTGTATTTCAGTGATTTCATCATCATTTCTTCCTATTTAATGTGGTGTATGGTGATACCAGTAGTTTCATCAGTCCGTGATGGGGGGGGGGCACGGGTGGTCCAATCCTCTAAGGCGCTGCGACTCGCTGTGCCCTTGGTCACGCCAGAAACCTATGATTGTGGGTTCGAATCCCAGTTCGCCCTGATTATGTTTCTAGGTTTGTCAGCACCATACCCGTGCTCATGGATTTCACCGAAGTGGTAAACATCTGAGACCTGCATCACTTCGGACTTTCCTCCCACATTAAGCTGACACGCCGCGATATAACTGGAATACTGTTAAAAGCTGCATTAAAGCCAACTCACTCACTCACTCACTCACTCACTCACTCACTCACTCACTCACTCACTTCTCGTGATATGAATCATATGGCAAGATCCCAAGAGATACTCAGCTCTAATAGCATGTCATCATACAAGGATGGTGTGAATCATTGCTCATGATATAAACCACTGAATTGTCTGGTCAGACTTCTGTTTACTGGCCTCCGTCATATAGCTTGCATATTGTTGAATGTAACAATAAACAAGCAAGCAAACAAGATCAATCGAGTCATATGTAGTCCACTTGCTTGCTCCAATAAGCTGCATGGTTTGAATACAAGGTTACCATTGTCCTTAATTCAAATAACACATGCGTGTCATAAGTGTTCTGAATATTGACCCAGTTTAAGTGGAGTAGAAAGGTGTGGGGTGAGGTGAAATGGGGTTTAATGTCGCTTCCAAGATTATTGCACTTATATAGTGGCGTATATGCACGTGTGTGTGTGTGTGTTTCTGCTTGTACTAGTCAGGACTGATTCCGATTTATAGTGCTAGCCCACTGAGATACCCATCTTCCCGAGGCAAGAGAGTTAACTGACTATAAAAGTCCAGTTTCCACCCTTGCCGAACTAGGCTGGTATTATGGAGTTACATTTTGGCTGGATTAACGAGTCTATGCATAGTCCAATCAAAATCGCGCACCGAAATCGAAATCCGGTTCATAAACCGTCGTGCAGATTTCGGTCGATTGCAGGATTTGCAAAACATGTGCACCGCCAACTAGTTGTCAGCAGATATTTTCCAAATCTTTTCATGCTTTTAATCAAGGTGCTCACATGATTTGATGCATTTTGCGATGTAAGACCCGTTTTATCACAATATAGATCTTGATTATCTGTCGGATCGTCTTGACTGGGCGCCATCATTTTGTGTGAAGCAAACGCAAGTGATACAAGAGGTGGAATTTGATTGGTCCATAGGAGAGGCTTAGAAGGGACATAACTGGTAATAGCCACTGGTGGTGCTACGATCAAGCCCAGTAATTCCAGCCTAGTTCGGCAAGGGTGGAAACTGGACTTTGAAAGTCAGTTAACTCTCTTGCCTCGGGAAGATGTGAGATACCATACCACACTTAAACACGAATACCCCACTCAGACAAAGTATACTGACTCCGAGCTTTGAGCTTTTTGTGGGCCCTGGTATCAGATGTGCAAAAGCAAATCAGATACCAGAAGTATTCACAAATTTTATAACATTGATATATTACTGGAGCAAGTTTAGTATATTGTATATTACTTGCCGCTTATAACTTTCTAAGACCTCATTTGATCAAACTATAGGAATTCCTGTCATAATTAGGTCAAGCTTATGAATACAATATTTCACTGTCCTGTGTAACTAGACAGACCTTGGCGCAATGCACAGCAAAATGAAATTGAGTTTAACAGAATAATGCAACTTCAAACTCTCTTAAGTTGACTCGTATTAATAAAATTCAGCACCAACAAGTCAACAAACATGTCACAAAACCCTATGACGTAATTCGTGAAATTTTGTTGTCATCTACACCGGCGAAAAAATCCCCCATGATGACAGCCTAGCAAGTTAGGGTCATCAAGTGTGCATCAGCTGCTCTCAGTGATCTACCATCTCTTGGTTGATGCATGTCATCCATCCCAATTGCATGGATGCTCATGATATTAATCACTGGATTGTCTGGTCCAGACTCGATTATTTACAGACCGCCGTCATATAGCTGGAATATTGCTGAGTGTGGCGTTAAACAACAAACCAACCAACCATCTCGACACGCAATGTCATTGAATAAGCCCAGGGATGTTGCGAGTTTTCAGTATTTGTTAGTGAACCTGGTTCTGGTATTGAAGTGTATCATACCAGCTTATTGTTGTGGAACAATGGTATCTTCAAAGAGTTGTGTTTACATGTTGCAGTTTTGAACCATTGTTAACACTGAGAATAGTAAAATATCTCTATAGATAATGAGACATGCAAGTCAGTTCCTGCAAAGTCTTTGCTCCGCGTTGCAATGTAAGCAGTAATGACTGTCAATCCCTGGCCTGGCTGATGTGTGTCATCAGACCCCAGCCACATACTCAAAACATTGCTGAGGATATGAATGTGTTTTGCATGTGTTGCTATGGTTACAGGGAGGTGTGGCCGGAGCGTGACGAGTTCGGGACTCAGAACATGCCCCCGGAGGATGAGTTCATGGCTCTACGGGAAATCTTCATGGCTCCGTTACCAAGTGAGTAAAAGTACTTAAATTCTAAAAAAATAAATAAGGTCAGATGAATTTGACAATGTTTATTTTTTCCAATGATTTTTTTACAGTTACTGAACACCATACCATTGTTTTAACACTAATCTGGAATACATTGAATGACCTCTAATTGTTGTATACTCTGTGAAGGTCAGCTGTCTCATTCAGAAGGAGGTGCACGCTAGAGTTGTCTCCCATTGATAACAGATCAAGTCCGTATCCTAGTACATCTGATACTTTCTTTCATGTCTCTGTCTCCTAAAACCAGGATTCATTATTCCAGACTAGCTCATGGATGGTTCAATCAATAAATAGATTTTGTATTTAATGTTCAAAAGTGATATGTTTCTAATCAGAGAAGGAGGTGGGGGGGGATATTCAGTGTTTGTCACTTCAGTCTCTTGAAAAAACTTAACTAGACCACAGATTGTTTCATTCATATGGCACTGATCTTACGGCAATGTTTACGATTTTGCCATAATAGTTAGGTTTTTGAGCTTAGAATTATGCTATTGTACTTGCCCTTCCTGATTTTAATTTTTTTTTCACAAATTATTTACATGCTTAAATTATCATGGAGAGCAAATTGTTCATGCATGGGTGACATGAAGCATTGTACAGTGAAACTGCTGGCCAATGAGAGCCATGCTTTCAATTCACAGCGGTCTCTGATTGGTTGTTATGTTAAAACACACACATGTAATTTTATTGTTCAATCTTTGCTTGTGCAGACAGGGAAATAATTTTATGTACACCAATATTACTTTAGAACTCGAACATGGTACTCTTAACATTACTCTTTTTCTCATAAAATAACCTCTTTTTACCCCTGTCGTGATTATTCCAAAGCTTAATTAGCCGTACAGCCCGTGATGAAATATTGCTGAGTGTGGCGTTAAACCAGGGATAGACACAGCCACTAGTCCGTTAGCCCGAGAATAGTGAAAATCCAGAGGGATAGATGTTTTCTGCTCAAATTTACCTATTTCACATTAACCGCTAGTTTGAAATGAGATTCAGATTAGTTTGATTTGACCATAGGTGTCTACCCCAGGTTAAACAACAAACAACAAAGAAATCTTAGAACCTTTGGCATAAATTGGAAATTACATTATTGATGTAGGGTAAGGGAATGAGAAATATCACATATCGATGCATCAATTAATGCCACTATAAGAAGTACACTTGAGGTGAAGACCTGTAAAACAGTAAATTTCCAGGCCATAACTTGAAATCTACTTGTATGTATGAAACTGCACATATGCATTGGTTATCAGCTTAACTGGTGCCTGTTGCTATCTTGAAATTTGTCAGAATTGTATTTTAGATTGTTTGCATGGAAACAATTTCCCAAACGAGGGTAGGGTTTGTTTTTTCAACAATGCACTGCTCATCAGCTTCACTGGTGACTTTTGCTATTTTGAAATTATTATTATTATTATTATTATTATTATTATTATTATTTTCTTATGTTTCCATGGAAATAATCTGGACTAAGTCCAAAACATCTGAAACAAGTCGTGTTTGTTCCTGTCAAAACTCTACAGCCAGTGAATAATTCTGCATGAATACATTATCTTTCCAGGCTATAATACTATTATTGTTTTTCAGATTTGCAAACATATTTACAGTAACAGCTTGAACTAATGTATCCCCCAAAAGTATGGGGGGACATATTTTTTTCAATAAAAACACATTCTAGTTGTATTTCTTACTGACGCTTACGTCTTTAAAGACATGGGTATTTGTACCATTCTTGACAATATACAAAATTCTTAAGAAAATGAAGCATTAGTTAGTAACTATGGTGTCTTCATATTTTTATTCACAGCATCAATTTGTGAATTTAATGATAATCTGTATCAATATTCTGGTTTCTTGACAGCTCTAGTTTTCAGGCACTGGCAACATTTACCGTTGTCTGAGACCCACTGGAATTTATATCGAGACGGAAACATATATGTAGACAGAGCTCCATACTTGAATGATTTCTTGACATTCATTTTAATTATCTATAAAGATCATAGAAATATGTATACATATATATGTATATGAATTTGACAAAATAAATGTGAAGTATCAATATATATATTGGAGTATTAATTCATCAATAAAAATAGATAAATTCTATACATGTCGAAACAATTTATAAAACTATATCCTACTATGAAATATTTATACAATTGGAGATATTTACAAATATTCACAAACAATATCCTCTTAAAAAGCCTTATAGTGCAAAGCCTAGTTTTTGATACAAGAGTCAAATAATATAATTTATCATATGGTGACTAGTATTATCAATGTGATAAACCAATCGGTTTAACTTGTTATCACTATCAGATAAATATGCATATAAAGTCACCTAGCAACTACTTTAAATCAAATGCCTTCTTTCTCAATATACCATTGACTGATAATCCCAATATGCTGAGAAAGGTGTTTCTGTAGACAAACATATCTGCAAGTCATTTGTCAATATATGCTCAATTGGGCGGTTCATTTAAATATTGTTTCAAATGCTACTTCATTAAGCGAAATTACATTTTAAACATTGATCATTGTGAAAATGATATTATTAATGAAGGTATTGTTTCTTGCGATTAATGAATTTAATTATTATGTTATGCAGAGATCAAAAGATTGAATTTATCTATTGTCATATTTATGCTAACCTTCTAGCGCTTCACAGGCACCTTGGGTTGTATACTCCCCAGGGAGCTGAAAATCAAGTGGAAACTGATCTGTTGACTGGGGAAATAATGTTTTTAGCGTTTTGAGTATGCTTCAATGGATAGACTATAGCGCATTACAAATATCCATATATTGTTGTTGTTGTTGTTGTTGTTATAACGTACACTTTATCTATTGTCACATGTACACAGTTTACTCGTCGTCCCAAGTGTATACTTTCATGCTTGCTGCAAGGTCATTGGTAATGTCCTCACTGGGCCGTGACGATGTTGACCCTCGGTCTGACCTTGACCTCACAGCTCTTTGCTTGGTGTCAATCATTAGTTCAGGCATGGGCTCACCTACGAAGAACACAACGTCTTTGTAGTCCTGTCGATACTGCAGCGCACGATGGTACACAAGCTTGTTCTGCCGGTACCGAATCACGAAAAATATGATGACGCCCAGGATTATGAGAATCACGGCAGCGGTGACACACGTTGCGACGATGACAGTCTTCATGTCGACCCCGCCTGCAGTAGATACTGCGGCCTTCTTAGATGGATCGGAGTCTGAGGAGTTGGTTGTCTGTGACGTTTGGTTAGAACTGTTCCCTGTTTCAAGGTCATCTGAAGAATTCATTGGTGTTCCTGGGTTGGAAATATTCAATGAGTTGTCAGTGCTGGATTTCATGAGAGTGTCTTCATCGCTTGTGAGACTATTGTCATCCAGTGTCGGAGTTACCGATGTTCCTGTAAGCATTCCCGATGTAATTTGTTGTGTGTAAGGGGATTTTGTTGTAATGACCTTATTTGGTGTTTTGCGTGTCCTTGACATTGTACTGGTGGTTATCATGGTAGTCTGCGGGCGAAATTGAGTTGTGGTCTTCTTTGGTTTTCTTGTTTTTCTTGATTTCTTTACCTTTGGTTTTGGTGTTGTACTGGGAAAAACAAAAAATCTCTGCGTGACTATTTTTGTCATCATCTTCGTCAGCACAATCTTGGTAGGAGGGATTGCTGTGGTCAGTGGACGCCCTTTTGGTTTGGACTTTTTAACAGTAGCCTTCTTAGGTGGTCTAGATGTTGCAAAGCCTTGTGTTGTCGATGCCTCTGTTGCTGGTGTTAATGCAGTTGTTGATGGTGGTGCCACGGTCGTTGTGACAGCAGCAAATTGGAATGGTTTTAAAATGGAAAGGGGTAAGCCTTTGAGTGATGATGGTGTGTGACATTCCACATTTCTGCCCATGAAGAACAGTTTCTTGTGTGACTTCATCCATGCACTGAGCCACTGCAGTCTCTTGTCACAATGCCACTTGTTCCCAGCGATCTTGATCTGCTGAACACTACGCAGGTACGTCCGCAGGTTGGGATTCAACGATGTCAGCTCATTGTCCATCAGATTGATGTGGGTTACATTAGAAAGAGACGACATCATGTCGTCAGAGCCCAGAACTTGCGCAGATATAGCAGGACTGAGCTGAAGATCCAGAAACTGCAAGTTCGGCATGTCAGCAAATATGTTTCCCTCGACATTTGTCTCGATGTCAACAATGAAAGCCATCTCAAGTTTAGTCAAGGTTGTCAATCCAGAGAGGGATCCCTTCTGTATTCTGGTGATTTTGTTATTGTTGAGGGACAAGGTTTGGATTTCTCCGAGCTCGGCAAAGACGCCTGTCTGCAGGTTTGCTATCTTGTTGCCACTGAGGGAAAGTTCTGTCAGGAATTTAGACTGACTGAATGTTCCAGGTTTGATAGTTTTAATCATATTACTGCTCAGTGAGAGGACAGAAAGTGCAGAATTCTTTGGAAAGTCTTTTCTAGATATCTTAGAAATTCTGTTTTTGCTGATGTGCAGTTTTGTTAGCTTAGGGGAAAATGGTGATGGTATCTTTTTCAGCTTGTTGGCATTGAGCCACAGTTCCTGTAATTCTCTGATTCCAGAAAATGCTCCCTTTTCAATGCGTGTTATCTGGTTTTCATCCAGCGCTATGATGCTTAAGTGTCGTGTTCCTGAGAAGGTGCTCTTGTTAATCCTAGTAATGTTATTATTACTTAATTGAAGATACCGTGTCGCCCATGGCAACCCCATCGGTACTTCTTTCAGACTGCATCCAGTGAGATCGATGTACGACAGACGATGATTCCGAATGAATAACCGATTGCCATCCTTGATAGAGTTTTTCTTCAGCACAATGTATGTCAGACTTTGAAGTGGCACAAAACTATTTGAGGAGATTTTCTTAATGTTGTTATCAGGCATCATGAGATAGACAAGATTCTTCATGCCCTGGAATGTGTTGTCCGTCAACGCCTGTATCTGATTCCCTCCTAGGTCCATTCGTTTCACGTTGGACAGGTTCCGAAACGCACCCTCAATATTCACAATCTTGTTGTTTGTTATGAGGATAGAGCTGAGATTTCCCATCCCATCGAACAATCCAGGAGGAAGTGATGTCAGCATGTTGGAGTTGAGGTTGAGGGTTTCGAGACTTGATAGACCAGTAAATGTCCCAGGTTGGATGTTTCGGATGTTGTTATCGCCTAGCAACAGTTCGGTTAGTGCCGTGAGGTGACTGAGACGTTCCGGGTTGATGGTTTCAAGATGGTTGCTGGCCAGATTGAGGTAAATGGTGTCTGCAGGAATGTTTTTTGGAATGTCACGTAACTGCTTTCCGTAGCAGTGAACCCTTGCCTCATGGCATGTACAGCCGGTGGGACATGCCGCCACGCAGACGGACCCTGCCACACATATAACACACAGAAGCACTGGTGTCAGGCCAGCCATCATGGGTACCTGCGATGTAGACAGGGACCGTTTAGCTGTCACTGACAGTTTGATATGTAGCCTGTATTGTAGATGACTCACACACAATTGTCACTTGTTAAATATGATTAATTCTTGTGACAGAAAAAGATTCTCTCAGAACGTATAATGAAAATCAAAAACCTGTTTAGACAATCCTGTGTGTGAATCTGAAATCCTTTGGGTTAAAGTTTTGTCAGTGATAAGAAATACAGCAACAACACATAGGGAAACATCCACAACACATGAATCCTCAGATCACAGAATTCCCTGCACCGCGACCGTTTCAGCATCCATCGACGGAGCAGAGGCCCATGTTACTGCTACTGGTGCAAGACGTGTGTCATGTGTCTCTGACTCTTTCTGAAGCCCAATCCGAGAGAGGATGCACGTCGTTATTTTCAAATGCGAAATTTGATTCTAATGTATCCTGAGTTTGATACAGATCAGCTGTTAGTCGTACAAGGAAGGAAAAGTAGCCACTTCGAATCACAAGGAGAACTCCGCTCCTAGCACTCAGCTACTTCCATTTAATTGACAGCCCACAGCATGCCTTATATATGTGATGCTGGAGTTTGAATTTCTTTTTTAAAAATTATTTCCTGTTTAAAAAAAGAAGTTTTTGATGATGATTAAATTACACTATTACACAAATGACACAATATTGTAGAGTCAAAATTTAAGATGGTTTTTTGAAGTGAATTAACTCGACAACGGTATAAGGTGTGAAGATTGTACAGCATTCTATCGTTCTATACTCAGTGGCAGACATAACCATGGAAGCATGTTTAGTCATTTGTTGTGTAAGAATCTGTACAAGAGGACTTGAAGAGAATATGGATCTGCTTCTCGACATGGTAATAATTGACGGCCTCACAGCATGCCTTATATGTGTGATGCTAGATTTTAAAAAATAAATTATTTCCTGTTTTAAAACATGTTTTTGATGATGACTAAATCAAACAATTACACAAATGACACAATATTGTAGAGTCAAATTTTAAGATGGTTTTATGAAGTGAAGTGTCATTCTATCGTTCTATATCAGTGGCAGATATAACCTTGGATGCATGTTTAGTCATTTGTTGTGTAAGAATCTGAACTAGAGGACACGAAGGGAAATGGATCTGATTGTCAACATGGTACTCATGTGGGATATGTGTTTGACTTAGTGATGTATACAGTGAAAAGATGGATATCAATGCATCACGGTATGGGTATTCCTACTTCCTTTTCATTTTAACCTTGGTGTGACTTTACTCACTTAGGGCTTTTAGCCAACATTGAGATGACACCTGATATAACTGAAATACTGTTCAAAGCGACATAAGACCTGGCCCTCTCATAATAAATTCATAGTGGACTACTGCAGCATTTCATTGACAGTATCATTACAACCCTGCTAGGTATTTGATATTTAGACCCGTGAAGATCCGGCCGGGGGGGGGGGGAATAGGTCTTCAGCAACCACTGCTTGCTGTAAAAGGCGACTATGCTTGTCGTAAAGAGGCGACTAATGGGATCTGGTGGTCAGACTTGGTTGATGCATGCCATCGATCCCAATTGCGTAGATCAATGCTCATGATGTCAATCACTGGATTGTCTGATCCAGACTCAATTGTTTACAGACCGCAGTCATATAGCTGGAATATTGCTGAGTGCAGCGTTAAACAACAAAGAAACAAATTTAATATGCTATTATTTTCACTATTCCAGGGATTTATAACTTCTCAGAGACTGATATATCCATTTCTATGCAAATGTCAGTGAAACAAATATCCAGTTGACATTTAATATTTACCGATTCCAAAGTAGACACAATTTATGTATAACAGCTTCTTTATTTTACTGTAATGGATATGTTTTGGTATAGATCTTATACTGTTGTCAAGCAAGGGTGAATAATGAACATGGTACAGAATATATATAGTAGGTGGAGGATAACAGTAACAATTGCATACCTAAGGGGGATTAACATGAGAAGGTCAAACAATGCTAACAGCAGGATAATCCTGTAACAACACGATGGACAGAGAACACATGATGAGGAAACCCATAAAACAGGATTAAGTATCAGAAATGTGAAATCTCCGTGGAAACATGGAAAATTGTGTTTTTTAAAACAGTTGTCCTCGGAAAAAATCATCCTCCGCGTAAAAATATAATCAAAGATTAAAAAAAATATACTCCTTAAAATATTATGGTGATTCCAGACAACTGTCGCAGATTGTCCTGTTTTTGATATGAGCTTTCAGCATCATATGCCTTTATTATTATTATCCTTGACACAATACTATTATCGTCGGTTTTCGGACATCATACATTTTCTATCACGAATACTTGCTCTTTAACGTTGGGTGTGGCATCACAGAAATTGTAACTATACAGATAATGGCTTGTTTTTAAGATAAAGTTGCCTTTTAGTGAATGAGATGTTTTACAGTTGGGCATGTGATTAGTGGGAAAACTAAAAATGTTTCTTCAGCATCCGAAAAACCCATAACACAGGGATATATGTTGTATTAATGTCTTATGTTTGCAATGTTGTTTCGTTTTGTTTTTCAACAAAAGGTAAGTAAGTACAAGGTAAGTTTTTTTCAATATGCTTCAACATAGGGAGAGGGTTAGACATTGCACGTTTGTGACAGTTGTCCTTGTGTCGGGGGGGACGGGGGATGAAGTTTATGGCAGTATTGCTCCCAGACCCGCGGAAGCTATGCCCAATTTTTTGAAAGTACTGATTTAACTTCGCAATTTTACTGCATCCACCATTTTTGTTTATTTGACTTGACTTTTGCCATTGACATTTCTTGGTGTGATTGTAGTCCAAACTACACAAAAATGCTTAAAATGCAATCAAATGTTTAAAAATTTCTGCAGACCCCCCTAGAGTTTTCCTCTCTTTTTTTCTTCGGAAAACCTGCTCACATCCTTGAAGTATACATCGGTGGGGTGATTATTGCTCAATGAGTTCACGTTAGGCAGATGGGGTGAAATAGCCTTGATCTTTTGTTGATTGATGGCTTGTGAATGTGGACTGCTTCTGTTACTTTTCTTTTAGTGAAGTCATGGAGGTTGTTGGAAACGATTTAGAAGTTTTTCCAGTTCATGTGATTAGGGTAGTTGCTGATACTGAGATGGCTGATCTACTGTCTTATTTGATGGTACAAATTCCAGTTTAATAATTAGTTTGGCAGAGGTGTCTTATGTGTCAATAACAACAAACGAAATAAAGAGAAAAATCTTTTACACTTAGTTACTATGATTGCATTAAATATGATGTTTAAATATCTTCTGAATTAGAGAAATTACGCTTGACAAGGGAATCCCAATTTTGGACAAAATGAAGCTGTTTTTCTCATTTTGTCTGCCACAGCCACCTAGTTTGAAATCCTAAATGAATCATAAATAAATTTCCTCCTACAATAATTAAGATTAGTCATGTCACGAGATGGGTGGGGTGGAAAGGGGGAGAACTTGTCCAGCAGTGGAACAATTACACAATTAGTGCACGAGACATCTTGTAGTATTCAACGCTCAACAGTGTACTTCCTTCCTGTTTATGACTCGTTTCCGTGGCAACATGCATTGTTTAGTCCTTCACATGGCACATAGTAGCAACAAAACCAAAGTTCGCAGATGGAAAGAAAAAAAAATGCCATGGAGGAGTAAATTTAAAATTCGCCATAAATATCTGCTTGATAAGAAAACTGGAGGATAGGTTTCAGTATCATTTTGTTTTCTTTTCATTATTTTTCTTGATATCAGGAGGAATTTCAGATTGCATAAACACCAGGGATTTAGGTGCATCTGCTCAGAGGGGGATATTTGGCTCCATGTTTACAGAAAATGACAATGGAAAATTTACTAATTCATGTTTATGTTAGTTGGGATGACTTTCAATGAAATGATACATTTGCCCAACATTGTGTCAGATAACTGTCCAGTTACTTGTCCAACATTGTGTCAGATAACTGTCCAGTTACTTGGTACATTGTGTCAGATAACTGTCCAGTTACTTGTCCAACTTGTGTCAGATAACTGTCCAGTTACTTGTCCAACATTGTGTCAGATAACTGTCCAGTTACTTGTCCAACATTGAGTCAGATAACTGTCCAGTTACTTGTCCAACATTGTGTCAGATAACTGTCCAGTTACTTGTCCAACATTGTGTCAGATAACTGTCCAGTTACTTGGTACATTGTGTCAGATAACTGTCCAGTTACTTGTCCAACATTGTGTCAGATAACTGTCCAGTTACTTGTCCAACATTGTGTCAGATAACTCTCCAGTTACTTGGTACATTGTGTCAGATAACTCTCCAGTTTCTTGGTACATTGTGTCAGATAACTGTCGAGTTTACTTGTCCAACATTGTGTCAGATAACTGTCCAGTTACTTGTCCAACATTGTGTCAGATAACTGTCCAGTTACTTGTCCAACATTGTGTCAGATAACTGTCCATTTACTGGGTACATTGAGTCAGATAACTGTCCAGTTACTAGTCCAACATTGCGCCAGATAACTGTCCAGTTACTAGTCCAACATTGTGTCAGATAACTGTCCAGTTACTTGTCCAACATCGTGTCAGATAACTGTCCAGTTACTTGTCCAACATTGTGTCAGATAACTCTCCAGTTTCTTGGTACATTGCTTCAGATAACTGTCCAGTTACTTGTCCAACATTGTGTCAGATAACTGTCCAGTTACTTGTCCAACATTGTGTCAGATAACTGTCCAGTTACTTGTCCAACATTGTGTCAGATAACTGTCGAGTTTACTTGTCCAACATTGTGTCAGATAACTGTCGAGTTTACTTGTCCAACATTGTGTCAGATAACTGTCCAGTTACTTGTCCAACATTGTGTCAGATAACTGTCCAGTTACTTGTCCAACATTGTGTCGGATAACTGTCCAGTTACTTGTCCAACATTGTGTCAGATAACTGTCCAGTTACTTGGTACATTGTGTCAGATAACTGTCCAGTTACTTGGTACATTGTGTCAGATAACTGTCCAGTTACTTGGTACATTGTGTCAGATAACTGTCCAGTTACTTGTCCAACATTGTGTCAGACAACTGTCCAGTTTCTTGGTACGTTGCTTCAGATAACTGTCCAGTTACTTGGTACATTGCGTCAGATAACTGTCCAGTTACTAGTCCAACATTGCGCCAGATAACTGTCCAGTTACTTGGTACATTGTGTCAGATAACTGTCCAGTTACTTGTCCAACATTGTGTCAGATAACTGTCCAGTTACTTGTCCAACATCGTGTCAGATAACTGTCCAGTTATTTGTCCAACATTGTGTCAGATAACTCTCCAGTTTCTTGGTACATTGCTTCAGATAACTGTCCAGTTACTTGTCCAACATTGTGTCAGATAACTGTCGAGTTACTTGTCCAACATTG